GTTCAGGGGTTAAGACACTTGCCTTGTGTATGGCTGACTGTAAAAACCTCCGAGGGCGGCCAGGGGGTGGCCCCGATGGCTCTTCTCCTAGCCACCCAGATTCTGCCAGGTTCTCCTGGGGCAGACAGCGGAGGAAGCAAGGGCCAGGCCGGTTTATTCCATTCTCATCCCCATTCACTCCTCTCTCTCTCCTCTCCTTCTCTCCTGAGCCCAAATCTGGAACCCCTTTCTCCTGCCTCTGACTCTGAATCTCGATCTCAATCTTTACCCCTAGCCCACTCTTACAGTCTGGTTAAATCCCCAAAACTTTGAGGGGCTGGGCTTACACATAGGTGTGGTCACAATCAATAGGGTTAAAGTTCTTCCCCTCAGGGGATGCTGCTTCTAAAACAGATTCTCTTTCTGTTTTAGGAGGACCCACCCAAGGGTGGAGTCCAATGGGTGTTTCTCCTCTCCTTGTCCAACAACATATAAGCATTCATAATATTAATCATTTTGTATGGACACAGTAAGAGATGCATTAGGCTTATAGAATTGCTCTCCAGGTGTCATCCCGATCTCAGACTAACTACAGTGCTCAGGCCAGATTAGTCTTTCCTATCCCTAGCAAGATCCTAGTCTTGTCATTACTTTTGGATCATGATAACATTTGTCATGATCAAGCTCTTATAGTTAAGAATTGTGGCACTTTGGCCAGGCCCATCTTGATGCCAGGGTAGCACATAGCTTACTGCTTGCCCTGGTTTCATCCAGTCCTTTGCTGGGACCCTACTTTTGGGGGCGCTAGGAAGTGAGGGCAACTGAGGCTTAAGTTGAGAAGGCAGATGCCCAGGAATGAATAATATTCGAAGCCATTAAATTCCAAGTTACAAAAGCATAATATTAATTGTCTTCTTGTGTCTATACAAAATGACATTGCCTTAAGGTAAACTATAGACATAAGGAGAAGAGAAAGGCAATATTGACTTACAATATGTGTTCAGTGTCCTAGAAAGATCTGACCTTACAAATTAACAGAATCTGATTAGGGGAATAAACTGATTAACTATTTGGGGAAGAGATCATAGGGAAGTAGTTACAAATAAACAAAAGAATGGGAGTGACTCGGGAGCATTTTGATGGGTGTGACCTAAAATGGGATATACCTAAGCTCCTGTGGCAAGGGAGAAAGGACAAAGCAATGTTATCCTACAGCTGACTTTAGTTCACTCCCTGGTCCTGAGCACAGACAGGAGTGTTGCCCTGAGCGCTGCCAGGTGTGGCCCAAAGTCCCACCCCCGACTGCAAAAAAAGACTATGTATAACATGGTCACTATCATTCATCAATTTGCTCAAGCGGGCCCAGTAACATTGTGAAACTTGTTACTGTGTTTGGCATATCGAATACGTCATGGGGAGCTTGCCACGCTTTGCCATGTGGGCGAGATACTCTCGGTAGCATGCCGGGCTCTCCGAGAGGGGCAGAGGAATCGAACTCAGGTTGGTCATGTTGGCTGTATGCAAGGCAAACGCCCTACCCGCTCTGCTATAATGAGGCATAATCATAACCACTACTTCCAGGCTTTTTCATCATTCTCTACCAAAAACTCTACCTATAAACAGTGATGTGTTTGTGGGTTTCTGTTATCGCTATTAGTTCTGGGAACCACATCTAGCAGGGCTCAGGGGCCAGGAAACTCCTGATGGCATGGATGGAGCCAGGTGCTACAGAGGTCTCACTGGGCATCTCACCAAACTGGAAGGCCATGCTGTGCCACTGAGTAACATCACTGGGTAAGTTTTGGTTTTTTGAATTGAAGTAATGCTGCATTTTTTGCTCTGTTTTGGGACCACATCCGGCTGTGCTTAGGGGCTACTCTTGGTTCTATGTGATTAGAACTGGAGTGAGCTGGATGCAAGGCAAGCACTTTAAACCCTCTACTACTGCTCTGCCTCTACTGCATTTGATTTTTTTTGTTTTATTTTGATTTGGTGTTTGGACCATACTGGCAGTGTGCAGGGGCAACTCCTGCCTCCCATTTAGGGGTCACTTCCAAAGTTGCCCAGGAGATCATTTGGTGCTAGGGGTTGAACCCTTAGCCTCCAGAAATATTCTAGATCCTTATCTCCTCTAGATGTAATTTTTTTTGTTTGTTTACTTTTGGGGATTCCACATCCAGTGTTGCTCAGAAGCTACTCCTAGGCTGAGCGCCACTCCTTTTTTTGGGGGGGGGTCACACCTGGTGATGCACCGGGGTTACTCCTGGCTTTGCACTCAGGAATTACTCCTGGCGGTGCTCAGGGGACCATATGGGATGCTGGGAATCGAACCCTGGTCGGCCGTGTGCAAAGCAAACACCCTACCTGCTGTACTATCACTCCAGCCCCTGAGCGCCACTCCTGGAGGTGCTCAGGGGACCACGTGGTCCCAGGAATTGAACTGGGGCTGGCCACCTTCAAGACAAATACCTTAACCTCTGTACTATCTCTCTGGCCCTAATATATTTTTTATGTCAATTATCATTTATATTAACTGCCTGTTTTCCTTTAAAATGTGCTAAAGACAACTGAATGCCATTTACATCCCCTGGGTCCAGTTTCTCCTCATCCCAGCTCATTGGATGAAACTTCGGCATTTGTTATTTTAATAAAAAAAAAAATATTTCGAGGCTGGAGAGATAGCACAGTGGGTAGGGCATTTGCCTTGCACGCGGCCGACCCGGGTTCGATTCCCAGCATCCCATATGGTCTCCTGAGCACCGCCAGGAGTAACTCCTGAGTGCAGAGCCAGGAGTAACCCCTGTGCATTGCCGGGTGTGACCCAAAAAGCAAAAAAAAAAAAATTTTTCAAGATGTTTTATTATTATTTGCGGGAGGGTGTGTCGTTGGACCACGCTCAGCGGTACTCAGGGGCTATTCCTGACTCTCTGGTAAGGAGCGTCCCCTGGAGGTGTTTGGGGGATCATGTGTGGTGGTAGGGGTTCAAACAAGTGTCAGCAAGTGTTCTAACCCCATACTCTCTCCCGGAACTCAACATACTTTTTTTTTTTTCTGGGGCCACACCGAATGATGCTCAGGGCTTTCTCCTGGCTCTGCACTCAGGGATCAATTCTGATAGGTCTTGGGGACCATATGTGGTATCAGTGATAGAACCTAGGTTGGCTATGTGCAAGCAAATGTCCTATACATTGTACTTTCTCTCTGCCCCCAAGATACTTTTTTTTTCTTTTTGGGTCACACCCGGTGGTGTTCAGGGGTTACTCCTGGCTTTGCACTCAGAAATTACTCCTGGTGGTGCTCGGGGAACCATATGGGATGCCCATGGGGACCACAGGGGCTGCCACGAATTGAACTCATATTGGCCTCAGGCAAGGCAAGAGCCCTATTCACTGTACTATCTCTCCAGTCATTAAAAAGTGTGTGGGACAGGGTTGAAGAGGGCTCATGGGGGGCTGGAGCAATAGCACAGCAGGTAGGGCATTTGCTTTGCAAGCCACAGACCCGAGATAGATTCCCAGCATCCCATATGGTCCCCCGAGCACCACCAGGATGCTGGTATGAATACCCGAGTACATGAGCCAGGAATAACCCCTGTGCAATGCCGGGTGTGTCCCAGGAAAAAAAAAAGAGGGCTCATGTGTTTAATTCTCCACCTTGCAGGGGTGTATCCACCATAACAAGGTGGTTTTTTTTTAAGTTTTGGGTCACACCCGCCGATGCTCAGGGGTTACTCCTGGCTCCACACTCAGGAATCACCCCTGGCGGTGCTCAGGGGACCATATAGGATGCTGGGAATCGAATCTGGATCAGCCGCGTGCAAGGCAAACGCCCTACCCGCTGTGCTATCACTCCAGCCCTGGCCATAACAAGTTAAAGACTAAAACTTTTCAAGTGTGTGTGGACTGTGAAGGGTGCACAGGAGAACACTAAGGGTGACATCAGTGTCTGTATCTTGTTTGGGGGCAATGCTTAATATAGGTGTATACCTTTGTCAAAACTAGGTGAACTAAGATTTAGGATATAATTCAAAATAATTGAGGTCAAGCGAGTCGCTTCCAGGGAATATGGCTGCCTTTTCCACTGTACATTTAGAATTACTTTATATTCAGAAAAATTGAGATGTAACTTTATTGTTTTTTGGGTTTTGGGCCACATCCAACTGTGCTGAGGGATCACTCCTGGCGGGACTCTCTGGAAACCATATGGGCTGCCGGAAATTGAACCCGGGTCGGTCCCTAAAATGCAATGTAGAGAGCCCCAATTCCAATTCCAACCTCACCAAGCCCGCTCCTGCCCTGGAAGCTTCAGTCCCCAGACTGAGCGCGCCGAGCTGCAGATGCAGGAGGAAGGTCAGTGCCGCGACAGTAGCCCAGGGTGCACGAGCATCTGGCTCGGCCTCGGCAGTGCCCGGCGTTTCAGCAGGGGGCGTGCGTCTCCCCGCAAGGGCCGGAGCCTGGCCCAGATCCCAGGGCTGCTCACAGTCTACGACCCGTTCCAGGCTGGCCAACGCTGCTGTCCAAGGCAGCCCTAAGCCCGCCCTGCGCGTTACACTTCCTGCTTGCAGCCAATCAGTGGCCTCCGTGAGAAGCGCCCGTTGGGAACAATGGAAGCCACGAGCGCGTCCATCTTTTTTGAAGGCAAAGAGGCTCTTGCATCTCCCTATTCCGCTCCCCCGTCCCCGCTTCCCCCAGCCCCGCTAAAATCCCACTTGCAGTGACCATTGTATTTCTGGAGAAGTGGGCCAACGGGCAGGAAAGCCAGACAGGCGTCCAGTTGCATTATGCTAAGGGACGGCGCCCTTAAGAGCCGCCCGTGACAACTGACGCCAGGACGGCGCCATTTTTTCTGAGGGCACCATCGGGGCGGGTCCTCTAACCCGGTGTCTGCGTCCAAGCGGCCCAGTAGTGAATAAACACCGAGAGGGCTATTTATCCCCACCAGGACCCCCGAGTCCCCAGCAGCCAGTCTCTGCCCCCTGGGACTCCCCGTACGGCGTTCGGGCTCCTGGGCTGGGCGGGGACCCCCTTCCCGGGGACGCCGAAAGCTGAGGCTGGGCGCGGGGACCCGCCGTTGTTTCGCGGGGCTGGGAGGCCCCATGGCGCCGCCCCCAGCCCTGCTCCTGGCGCCGAGACCTGGGCACAGCGGGCCTGGTTGCCACAAGCCCGTGGCCCTCAGGTTCGCGGACGTGGCCGTGTACTTCTCCCCCGAGGAGTGGGGGTGCCTGCGACCCGCGCAGAGAGCCCTGTACCGGGACGTGATGCGGGAGACCTACGGCCACCTGGGCGCGCTCGGTGAGGCCGGGTCAGAGCCCATCTCCTCGTCCATTGGGGTTCACAGGGGAAGTTCTAGAAGGCTCCTGCACTGTGCCACCAGCAGCACCAGTCCCCTCCACTCCCAGGGCTCCCGCCTGACCGCTTCCCCCACGCAGGAGCACTGCAGACTCTCAGGACGTTGGGCTTAAGTCCTGAGGAGGTGCCCTCGTCCTCGCAGGGCGATGCCACCTTTCAGGCCAGCACTATGACCCCTGTTCTCTCCCAGGATTCCCAGGCCCCAAACCAGCCCTCATCTCTTGGATGGAACAGGAGAATGAGGCTTGGAGCCCCGCCGCCCAGGATCCTGAGGAGGGGGAGAGCCGGGGAGTTGCTCGGAGAGGTGAGGGATTGGCCCAGTGTCCCCACACCCAGTGGGCACTCCAGGGTTTCGGGTCTGGTGCTGTTTTCTTTCCTATTGCGACTGCCAGCCTCCAGGAGGGAACCCAGAGCCGGCCCCTGCTGTCCGCTGGAAGGCTGAACAGTTGCGGTTTTCAGAATTGGGGATCAGATCATGTGGAGACCAAAGCAGGAGAATTAGGAGCCCAGGTCCAAAAAGTCAAGTTGCAGGGCACCTGGAAAAAACACTGCTTTTCCAAGGGCACCAAATGTCCCCCAAGAATGGAAGCAACTTCAAACAGTCTGTCACATTCCTCAGGCAAGACAGAGAAGATGCCCAGTCATCCACACCAAGGGCCTCTCCTCTCCAGCCTCTGGCAGAATGATCTGGAACATCCTTGAGCTCTGAACTTGTGTGACTCCACATCTGTAAAAGTCTTATCTTAAAAAAAGGGGGGCGGTAGGGACCCCCAAAGATAGCTACTGCTTGTTTAGTACTTCTTAAGTACTTGATGTGCTTATACTCATCAAATACTTGCAATTGTGAGAAGAAGCTGTTATGATTCCCATTGGACACATGCAAATCAGACCCCAAAAGTCTCTCTAAAGACACTTGATCCCAACCCCTTTTACCATTTACTGTCTGTGTGAGAGTCACTGGGTAGTAGTTTTACATAGAAACTCTAACCCCCAACCATATAAGCAAATGTGTTTAAAATGTAAGGAAATTTCTGTTTCCTAGGAGAAACCACAAACAAGAAGGAAGTGGAACTCCGAGAAGCATCAGGAGCCAAAGGATCCAGAAAGAACCCTGGGAAGGAGCCCGTGGAAGAAACGATTAAACATAGCGCTGCCTCGACTGTCAGCAAGGCCCAGACTGGCTCCCAAGCACCGCGGAGAGCGACTTGGGACCAGGGCGCCGACGCCCTGCCGGGGTCGGGGCCGGGGGATGCTCAGCGGCGCCACGTGTGTGCGGACTGTGGCCGCCGCTTCACCTACCCGTCGCTGCTGGTCAGCCACCGGCGCATGCACTCAGGTGAGCGGCCCTTCCCCTGCCCCGAGTGCGGCATGCGCTTCAAGAGGAAGTTCGCCGTGGAGGCCCACCAGTGGATCCACCGCTCCTGCTCCGGGGGCCGCCGTGGGCGGCGGCCAGGCATCCGGGCCGTGCCCGGGGCCCCGGTGCGGAGCGACCAGGACCCGCCTGTGCTGTTCCGCCACTACCCTGATATCTTCGAGGAGTGTGGGTGAGCCAGGTCGTGACCGGGCTGGGCCGGAGCTGGGCAGCTGCTCCCGGACTTGGGAACTGAAACTCATCCCCTGGGCTTCCTGCAGGGATCCTTCAAGTTTCCAGACTTGTTAAAAGAAAAGTGCCTGTAAAGATGGGAGATTAGGCTTGGGGACCAGAGTGATAGTACAGGGGGCAAGGTAGGGCGTTTGCCTTGGATGCCGCTGATTAGGGTTCTATCCTTGGCACCTCATATGGTCCCCTGAGCACCTCCAGGAGTAATTCCTGAGTGCAGAGCCAGGAGTAACCCTTGGGCATCCCCAGGTATGACCCCAAACAAGACAAAACAAAAGGGATTAGGTTTGTCCTTTGAGTATGGTCCTCTGTGCACCGCCAGGGATAATTCCTGAGTGCAGAGCCAGGACTGACCCCTGGGGATCGCGGGGTGTGGCCCCAAAACAAAAGATTAGGCTTGTCGCTCTTTCCCCACAACTTTCAGAACAGATGGAGAGAATGGGGGTGCTGGTCTCCCGTGTTCTCTCAGCAGCAGGTACAGATGAGACCTTTCCATCATCTCAGAAAGTAGCCTCTTGCTGTTTCTTTACAGAAGGGGGGGCTGGAGTGATGGCACACCGGATAGGGCATTTACCTTGCATGTGACTGACCCGGGTTCGATTCCCAGCATCCCATATGGTCCCCTGAGCACTGCCAGGGGTAATTCCTGAGTGCAGAGCCAGGAGTAACCCCTGCACATTGCCAGGTCTGACCCAAAAAGAAAAAAAAAAACAGAAGAGTGAGCTGCAGAGGGGCACTGGGCCTCGAGGGGCCCCAGGTAAAGGCAAAGCCCTGGCTAACTGGCACCATCCCGGGCCAGGCAGTGAGGAGAGTGGGAGAGGACCCAATGCACGCAGATCTCGCTCGGAGGCCGCTCGGCTAGAAAGTGCCCTCCGTGAGCTTCAGCACCTCATCTGTAAAATGAGATTTGCTAATGTCTACCTCAAAGGAGAGAGTTCCTGTGCAGACTGAAATGTTAGGGTAATCTGTATGTCATGATAAATGTGCAATAAACATTTATTGAGAAAGTTGATGACTGTGACCATTTTGTGTTTGGAAAGTGTCAAGACGCCTGCTAGGGAGCTGGGCATGAGTATCAGTTTTCCAGATGAGTAAAATGAGGTTCAGAGAAGTGACCTTTCTCAGAGTTTCACTGCAGTCAGGCAGCAAATCTGGAAACTGACACATAGCCCAGCTCCTTCTACCATTTCCTGTGAGCTGTCAGATGTGGGTAGGGCGAGAATTAGGGCTGAGCAAGGAGGCAGTGGGCGAGCTCAGGGAGCAGTGGCAGGAAAAGGGATTTTTGTCTTCATTTCCCATTCAGAGAGGGGTCGCTAGGTTGAGGTGAGGAGTGTCAGGTGAGGGCACCGGAATCACAGGAAGCCTGGGGATGGCATGAGGTGGGGAGAGCTCAGCCTAGCCAAATCAATAAAAAAGATCCAGAAAGATCAGTGACTTTCCACTTAGAATGTACAGTCAGCACCCAAAGACCTTCTTTCCAGAGCCTTCCATTGCAGACAACCAGGCAGTAAGGAAATTCCAAGATAGGAAGACTAATTGCTTTTCTTCATTCATTCTACAAGCCCCCTGGGTCTCAGAAATTTGTGCTGAACTCTAAGGATATGCTGACTCAGAACCCACATTCTAGGAGGGAAGAGTGATTGGGGCTGTGAATGAACTGTTGGGAGAAGTCTCGGGGCACCCCTGCCCCGCTCTGATGGGAAAGGCGCCAGCATGTGCTACAGGGAGGAGATGGCATTGCTTCCCACGGCATTAACTAGGACCTGGCAAGTGGGACAAAGGGAGCCTTGCTTTCTAGAAAAGAGGTCGGGGCTGGAGCGATAGAACAGCGGGTAGGGCGTTTGCCTTGCACTTGGCCAATCCAGGTTGATTCCCAACATCCCATATGGTCTCCCGAGTACCACTAGGAGTAATTTCTGAGTGCACAAGCCAGGAGTAACTAGTGTGCATCACTGGGTGTGACCTAAAAGGAAGAAAAAAAAAACAGAAAAGACTTAGACCCAGTAGAGGAGACACTGAACAAGTGAACTCTGGACTCAGACTGTGCGTTTAGATCCTGATCCACTTGCATCTTACCTGTGTGATCTTGGCAAACTCACTTCTAATCCCAAGTCATCTCTATGCTTACTTTCTCTACAAAACCTGAAAAATAACACCTATCTTATATTTATTTAATTTTTGGTGTTTGAGCCACAACCAGTCGTGCTCAGGGATTATTTGTGGCACTGTGATCACTCCCGATGAGGCTCTAGAGACCATACGCAAGTTGGGGATCAATCTTGGTTAGCTGTGTGTGCGGCAAACAAATGCCTTCCCTGTTGTCCTAGCTCTGCATCTAACATCGACCTTCAACTAACATCAACTAACATCAACCTTCAAATATTGATGTTCGGCTCCAATGGGATAACAGTGCTTTGCGTATTCATATTTAACAGGCAAAAAAAATTTTATTTTGTTCTAATACAGTAGAAAAGTAGTAGTAGTATGTGAGTAGGACCAAGAGATAACTGGGTAGTTCTTCTATAGGAAGGAAGGCTACTGTGAGAAAATGGTTCATTCTGACGTGAAGAGGCCATTTTTCGAAAGCATGAAGACCTATGTAAAGAACAACAGAGACATGCAGGAGAGGCAGAGTCAGTCTGGAAGTGCCACAGATTCCTCCAGAGGAGACTGATGTTTACCCTGAGTGCACTGATGAGCTCGTAGAACGTTCTTGATCAGGGAGATGGCTTAAAAGGCAGGACAACACATTGCATGGAATATCCCCCAGCACTGCTCATTGTTGGAGCTGGAGCTAGGCTATTGGACAGGACTGGCAGTTCTGTTTTTTTTTTTTTTGTAGGAGTACTGCTATATATTCAGCCACTGATTAGCTGATTGAATTGTGCATGAACTCCACCTTACTTTTTTTTCCCCCATTTTTTATAATTTTATTTATTGAATCACCGTGAGAGCAGTTACAAAGCTTTTGGGTCTAAGTCTCGGTCATACAATGAAACACCCGTACCTTCACCAGTGCCCATTCTCCACCACCAAAAATCCCAGTATACTCCCATCCCACATCCTCCCCCTGCCTGTGGGGCAGATGATTTCCACATTACTCTCTCTCTACTTTGATCACATTCACTATTTCGACACCAGACCCACCATTATTTGAGATTTTACCCCAACACTCAGATCTGCTGAAAAGGCAACAATAGACAATTTGTTTTCTATTGCTGGTTATGAATAACATATGATGTCGTGTGGCTGCAGTAGGGCCATGTGGTTTTGAAATTCCGAAATTTTAACACTTAAATCTGGAGGGATTTCTGCCAAAAGCCACTGGGTTTCTGAGTCTCTGGGATCATGGCCATTAAGCAGCTTGATCAGGAGCCAGAGAGGCCATTGGTGGGCGATGACTTGGGGTCTCGTTGGGGTGGGGAGGACAAGCCCGGCTCCACCCCCATCCCATGAGGCCCTGTGTGTCTCGTCACTGGGGGCCCAAATGTGACTATCCAGTGGCCTCAGACGGATGGCGGCCACTGGGCCGCCAGGGAGAACAGGCCAAGGCACAAAACCTATTCCCACCTGGGTTCGCCCAGCACTGGTAGCCTACTGCAGAGACCAGACGCATTTCTACCTAAAGCCACTGGGTTCTGAGATTCATTTCTGAGTCTCTGGGATCATGTCCATTAAGCAGTTCAATCAGGAACCAAAGAGGCCTTGCCTCCAATTATATAGCTGAGCCGGAGGTGGTTTGTGGGTGTGTTTCCCACATACCTAACTTTTGGCCATTTACTTTTTTGGTAAACTTTGCCCCAAGTTTTTGGGGTCTGGCCAAAGGCACAGCAGCAATTTTGGGGTATCTGGAAATCTGAAGGCGCCATGAGGCTGCTGATGCACTCGCCTCACAGGTACAGATTGACCTGCTGGTGGCACCATACCCCCTGGTAGTTCTGTTTTTAAGAAGCTTGGTTATGGCTAAAGGCTCCTGGTCCACAGGCAGGTCTATTTGACCCTTTGGAAAGAACTCATGCACGAATCAGAGAAATAGATGTTTATTGAGTGAATACTTACAAATCAGAATATAGTGCCCAGAGAGTTAGTTGAAGGATTAAGGCACTTCCCTTGCACTTGATAGATTCACATTCCAACAAGTTGAAGTTAAAAGTAAAAATTCCTTAAGAACTAAAACCAAGTCTGGGGCTGGAGAAATAGTATAGTAGGTAAGGCTCTTGCCTTGCAAGTGGTCAATACGGGTTCAATTCTTAGCATCCCATCTGATTCCCTGAGCCTACCAGGAGTAACTCCTGAGCCAGGAATCAGTACTGAGCATTGCTGGGTGTGACCCAAAAACCTAAAAATCCCCGGTCTGGACAGGCAGGCGCCCTACCCGCTTTACTATCGCTTTAATTTATTATTATTATTAGGTAGCAGGGACCACCCGACCTTGGACTCAGTCCGCAAAGCCAGCGCCTCCCTACTCTTTAATTCTGGGCTGGCTGCACGATATCCTGAAAGACAATCTCCCAGCATCTCCGGCTCAAACAAGTTTCCACAAGGACATAGGCATTCTTGTTTACCCGTCACATTAGTGTTCTCTTCTCCCTCTGCCCCCCCCCCTTTTTTTTTTGCTTTCTGGGTCACACCTGGCGGTGCTCAGGGGACCATATGGGATGCTGCGAATGGAATGCGGATCGACCCCCGTGCAAGGCAAACGCCCTGCCTGCTGTGCTATTGCTCCAGCCCGGCTTCCACCTTTTTATAGCGGGCAAAATCGGACATTTAGCAGACCGGCTCCCGTGTAGCTCCTACACACCAGGCCACAACGGACAAGAGTGTGTAGAGGGGCAGGTTTTTTTATATGATTTTTGGCGGGCAGTCAGGTCGCAGAAGAGCGCACTGCATAAACCCTGAAGGGCCCGAGCCCAATTAGAAACGGTCCAGGGACTAAACGAGCCCCAGCCTGGAACTGCGGCGACCAGCGTCGGTCTCTGAGCGGTTGCTGCGCAGCGCTGCACCGGAAGGAGCGAGGCCGTTCCCCGGGTCCTCGGCGCCGCGCGCCTACCGGCCTAGGGGCGCGGCCGGCGCGGCCCGGGTCTCCCAACTCGTGTAACCCACACCGCCATCTTGGCTGTGGCCCGACGCGCGGCAACCCGGAAGCGTGGCGCCGTCCTCGTACGCGCCTGCGCCGGGGCGAAGGTCACGACCCGCGGCGCCGCCATTTCTGCGGGGGGGCAGCTTCTAACGGTACGGTTGCCCGCCCTCCTCGGCCGTCCCAGCGGAGCCTTCTGCGCCGGGATCCCGCGGCGCTGCCCATGGCGCCGCCTCTGGCCCCGCTGCCCACGGGGGAAGCGGACGGGACTGCGCGCGAGGGGCGGAACCCCGTGAGGTTCGCGGACGTGGCCGTGTACTTCTCCCCCGAGGAGTGGGGGTGCCTTGCGCCCCCGCAGAGGACCCTGTACCGGGACGTGATGCGCGAGACCTACGGCCACCTGTGCGCGCTCGGTGAGGCGCGGCCCGCGCGTGCAGTGGGGAGCCCGGGTCGGGGGACGCGAGTGCACCGGGCGGCTTGGCGGCAGCGCGCTTCCCTGTCCTCTCCCCAGGATTCCGAGGCGCCAAGCCCGCCCTCATCTCCTGGGTGGAGGAGGAGGCCGAGCTGGGGGACGCTGAGGCCCGGGATCCGGAGGCGGGAGCGTGGTCTCCGCGAGCAGAGCCAGGTGAAGTAGTGGGGACGCTGCGGGGGCCGCCCCGGGCCTGACCCATCCTGTCACTCCCTGTCCACGGAACCGCCTACCCATCGCTCCCTTTCCAGCATCGCCTCTGGCTTCAGCTCACCCGTGGTGAGCGGGTGAGGGGGCCCCCGCCATGCCCTCCCCTCACCCCCCTGCCCTGGCCGCTGAGCTGCAGCCTGTGCTTGCCCCAAGCGCCGTCTCCTCCTGCTGTTTCCCTGCACTTACTCCTCTGCCACGGCCTTTGTTTGCCTTTCTGATTGCTCTCCCCTTTCCCTTCTGTCTGTGCCACAAGCCCCGAACTTGCCCATGTCCCAGTCTTTCTGGAATAGCGGCCACTCATCGCTGGGCATCCTGCTCCCCATTTTCTCCAGCCCTGCACTAGAACCATCTGTTCTTCCTACCTTCTCTGTGCAGAGGAAGCCCAGACTCTCCCAGGCCCTGCTGATGCCAGAGGCAGTGGTGGGTGGGAATGGTGCCCATGCTGGGCTGAGAGACTTCCCCAGGTGGGTGTGGGGTTCCAGGACCTGCTAGGTGCTGAGTTCCCACCTTCTCTTCCATTAGATTCCAGAAACAAGGGCAAGAAGGGACAGCGAGAAGACACTGCAACTCCAGAGAAGATCCTCTCTGCATATGGAGAACCTCTTGAGCTGAAGACTGTCAAAGCCCCTTCTGCCCGGTGCCCTGGTGGTCTGAAGCAGCCCTTGAGAGGCTGTTCCCGGCTCTGTGCCCCCCTCCCTGTCCCGCGGGCAGACCAGCGTCACGGCTGCCACCTGTGCGGGAAGAGTTTTGCTTGGCACTCCACTCTGATCCGACACCTGTACACGCACACAGGGGAGAAGCCCTTCTGCTGCTCGGATTGTGGCAAGGGCTTCAGCCAGGCCTCTACGCTCAGCAAGCACCGGGCCTTCCACCTGGGGGAGCGGCCCCACCGCTGCCCCGACTGCGGCCGGACCTTCACCCAGCGCTGTAACCTCACGACCCACCTGCGGGTGCACACGGGTGAGAAGCCCTACCGCTGTGCTGACTGCGGCCGCTGCTTCAGCCAGAGCTCAGCGCTCTGCCAGCACCAGCGGGTACACAGCGGCGAGACCCCCTACCCGTGTCCTGACTGTGGCCGTGCCTTTGCCCATGCCTCGGACCTTCGTCGCCACATGCGCACGCATACGGGGGAGAAGCCCTACCCGTGCCCAGACTGTGGGCGTTGCTTCCGCCAGCGTTCAGAGTTAGTAGTCCACCGTCGCACCCACAGTGGCGAGCGCCCGTACCCCTGTCCTCAGTGTGGCCGGTGCTTCAGCCAGAAGTCAGCAGTGACCAAGCACCTGTGGGTCCACAGGCCAGGTGCTGGGGGGCGCAGAGGCCGGGTTGTCAGTGTCATGCCTGGCCCCCTGGCCCCTGGCCGAGGAGACCTGGACCCGCCTGTGGGATTTCAGCACTACCCAGACATATTCCAGGAGTGCGGGTGATGGCCTCAAAGGTCAGTAGGCCAGAGGTGAAAATCTTGGTGGTGTTGGAGCTCCAGCGGCATCACAGCTGGATCTGAGTGAAGAGGAGTCTGAGCCCGTCATCAGCTTGATCCATTGATATTTTACTTTCTAATCTCCCAGACTCAAGAAACACCCTTTGATCAATTAGGGCTGAGGATTCCCACTACACCAGTTACAGGAAAGCAAAGGCCGTATCTTACCTTCCCTGTGCTGAAAGGATTGAGGTAGAGGAGAACTTTATTTCACCCATTATCATTATTACCAGAGTTAAAAAACCAAGGACCTTATACTGAATCAGGCCCACAGCTGCCTTTGTACTGTTTTAGGCCCAGAGAGCATTTGTGAAATGTTACAAAATACAGATTACGGTGTAAAAGTTTAGGCCGGGGACAAAGCAATAGTACAGTGAGCAGGGCACTTGCCTTGCATGCAACAAACCCAGGTTCAAGCTCCAGCACCCTATATGGTACCCTGAGTACCCCACCAGTGATAATGCATAGCCAGGAGTAACTCCTGGGCATCACCAGGCCCCAAAACAAGAGGGGCAGCAGAGTACAGGAGGTAAGGTGCTTGCACATGACTGACCCCAGAATGATCACACCCTGGTCCCTCAGAAGTGAATGAGCCCTAGCACAGGAGTAAGCCGTGAGCACCATTGGTTGTGGCCCCTCAAATATTTAAAAATCAAGGAATTCTATATAAGGATCCAAGTTTCTGGTTTGTTTTGGAAAGACCAGGACTTGGAAATGACTTAAGCTCCCCCAGAGAACATTTGGCAGGAGCTGTCCCGTTAGGGAAAGCAGAATCCATTATGTTCAGCATGATCACAATCACGACGATCACGACCATCCTGTTACTTGTCGATTGCCTCCAGCAGGCCCCAGTAACGTCTCTTTCGTCCTAGCCCTGCCTGAGATTTTTAAAAAAGTGCCATATTCAAGGCTCTTTCAGAGTTAGGAGAATGAGACCCATTATTGTTACTGGTATTTGGCATATTAGGTACGCCACGGGGAGTTTGCCAGACTCTGCCGTGTGGGCAGGTTACATTCGGTAGCCTGCCATTTTGTCCAAAGTAGGAATGAGATAATAAGATGTCATGGTGAATGCGGCCGCGCGCTTCCAGGAGCTGGGTTTTATAGTCTCTGGGTCTTGGTCGATGATGGGATTACAGGGGGCCAGTTGGTGGGTGTGATCCCTGCCTACTGGAATTTGGAGGATCTGGGTGGAAGATGCTCAGCCCCGATCCGAGCAGGCTTGGAGATCTCAGCCCCGAGACCCGCATGCCTTTGTTCCTCTGCCGGTATCTTCATGCGTGTTCAGCACGAACTTCACTTAAAATTTAGGAGTTCTGTTCACTTCCATGAACTGCTGGGTTCTTGTCACTGAGTTTGCACACTATGGTTTACAGCACTCACGGTGACTTGGGCATTGTAGAGAGCATATATGTGAAGAGGTGCCAGGAGAGAAGAAAAAGCATGCTTTGTGCTTTCAAAGGTTTACAGAGTGCCATCTTGCTCACAGCTTGGCCTGCGCTTAAGGAGTAACTTGCTCATAGAGGACAGCCAGATGAAGAAGAGGCAGCTGAATCTTTTACCCAAAAACAAGTAGTTTGTTTGCCATAGCATAGCACTACACTTAGCTGGCCAGCAGTTGTTCTGTTTTTGAAGAAGTGGCCAAGATTGCCTTCCTGACTCGGGCCTGCCTGGGATCTCCTTGTGCCTTAGGCCTCGGCCACCTGAGACCTTGCCAAGAACTCATCACAGTTTTGAACCAGAAGAGATCTTCGTTCTGCCGTTGGGACACAGGCAGGACAGCTAAGCAGCTGTCTTCGGGATTGGGAGTGGGGTCCTGGGGGCACACCCAGTGATGCTCAGGTTACTCATGGCTCTGCGCAACTGGTGGTGCTCAGGTGACCATATGGATGCCGGAGACGGAACCTGGCTCTGGAACATGCGAGGCGAGCGCCCTACCCACTGGACTATCTCAAGCCCCTAGGCAACCCGACTTCAGATCACAAGGCAAGACTCCAGGGCTCATAGTTAAGGCCACATCACCCCAATGCTTCTTGCTGGTGTCCACTCTTCATTATGGCATGCTGACACTGGGCTGAACTGGAGACAGACCAGCTCAGCATCACTAAAGTCCAGGTAAAAGTGAATGACAAAACATCCACATAGCAGAGCAAGGTAAGAGAAGGCAGCTGAAGGAGGCTTGAAGGCAGAGGAGTTAGGCTTACATTTCATGCTAGGTGTCCACTATGGGGGACAAAGGGAGACTAGCCTAGGAATGATTGGTAGCCAGGCTGAACTCGTGTTGGTTGCTCTGCTCTGCTCAGGTTCCCTGACCACTGCTGCTCTGCTTTCAGTCTGTTAACTCCTTTGTGGTCAGGGCCCACTTCATCCATGGAACAGGAGCAGCAAGCCAAGGACAGAGTGCCTCGCCTCTGGCCAAGGATGTGAAAAAGAGTCGCTGGAGTTTGCTTAGTGTCCTTACCTTGACCCGCTTTAGGCTCAGGAAGGAAGAAAGGAGGAAGGGATACAATTTTCAGGAAAAGATACTCCATAAAGAAATGAACTCTCTTGATTCCAACCTAGTCTTCAAAGTCACTTTATCAATACCACCGTAAGTTTTTAGAGCAGACATCTTATTACCTCATTCCTACTTTGGACAAACTTGCAGGCTATCCGAATGTAGCCTGCCCACAGGGCAGAGTCTGGCAAACTCCCCGTGGCCTACCAAATATGCCAAATACCAGTAACAATGATGGGTCTCATTCTCCTAAAGAGCCGTGAATATAATCTCAGGGCTAGGATGAAAGAGACGTTACTGGGGCCTGCTCGAGGCAATCGACGATTAACAGGATGATGAAATGAAATGAAATGATAATGGGAAAATGGCCAAAAAGAGGCAACTTGGCAGTAGAAACTAACCTTGTGCCAGTTTTCAATTCCCTAGAAAAGCCAGTGCACAAACTTCCCGCCCCCAATCTCAGCATTGCCTGGGGAAATCCCAGCTTGTAATACCAGTTAGCACAAACTTGAAAACACCTGGAGCCTCATTAGCTTGTCAATTAAAGGATCCATAATTACCACTTTCTCTAAGTACTTCGAAGTTTGAAGGTTGATTAGGGCCCCCCAAACAGGCTCCACTCTGTTTTTCTTCTTGACCACCTTCATTTAATCAGATGTTTTTTGGGCCTCTGGAGCTGTGATACGCCCAGATGGCTAGGGAGGTCACACCGTACTAGGGATCAAGCCCGGACCCCTGGGCGTGCATACTAATCCTTTAATCAATTTCTGGTGCCGTGCTTGTTTTTAGCCTTCATTACTTGGCAGAGTGACCAAAGCCAGGGCTGCTTTTTCTCTCCTACCACATGTCTCTGCACCTCAGACCTGGAAGCAGGAAACCAGAAGGTTTCCCTACTGCTTCGCTGGTGCAACAGGAGAGATCCTTGTCTTTGCCAATGACTGGCCACATGACAAAAATAAAAGACCAAGTTCTCAAGGTCCTGTGGCCAGAGCCGGTAGGGCTCGTGCCTTGCACGTGGCTGACTGGGGTTTGATCCTCAGCATCCCATTTAGGAACAGGATGTACAGATAATTGACCCACAGAAATTCTGTGCAGAATCATGCAGTTTTTCATTCATGGAGGAGGGGCTACTTCCAACAAATTCAACAATGCAGAACTCAGGGGATGAGGGGTTTTGTGGGTCTGAGTGTGGGACTTCAGACAAACCATCTCCCCAGTCCTTCATGCATAACATTTTTGAGGTGTGTGCTCACATTCGCTAGTGTTCATGGATCACTACTGGCTCCGTGTTCAGGGATGGTACCTGATAGTGCTCAGGTGCTAGTACATCAGATCCAGGTCAGCTACATGTAAGACAAGTGTCCCTGCAGCATTTATATCTGAGTTTTTGGCCACACCCGGTGATGCTCAGGGGTGTCTCCTGCCTTGGCACTCAGGAATTACTCCTAGCAGTGCTCAGGGGACCAGGTGGGATGCCAGAGATTAAACTGAGGTTGGCTGTGTGCAAGGAGAGTGCCCTACCTGCTATGCTATTGCTCCGGTCCTGCAGCATCCTTTTAAAATAACTAGCTGCTTGGGCCCTGTCCCAGCCTGTTGAATCAGTTGGAGAGAACAGCTGCTCTAAACAAGACATCATTTTTCAGCTGCTCTTAGTTTTGCCAACGTGAGGGTGGATCCAGATTTGCCAGGCCCTGGGGGGCAGGTGGTGACTGAGCCGTGCACAGACTCCCATTCTCTGTCCTTTCTAAAGGGGCGTGTGCATGGCTTGTTCTCTTCTGGTCATCTCAAATCTTGCATCTATTGGAGAATCTCTTGGAACTTTTGGTAGGCCTCTTCACGGGCTTGACTTCTGTATGCAGTCTGTGAGCAGTTCATGCAGGAACCGCTTTCCCACTAAGCACCTTTGTTAGGGTCCTGCAGTGGGGCTGACTGACTGCAATATATATTCCATGTTGCACAGAACAGCTCTGCCCCAGCGCTGCTGCACACCAACTGATGCAGTAACACAATGGTGGCCTAAATTGGGACACTCATACGGTTCCTCCTCAGGATATAATAGAATATGGGCGGTTGGCTCCTGCCTCAGATTAGTTGGTGCTGGGTCCAGATGAAACCCTGTGATTTGGTTTTCAGCCATTGGCTCAAACCATGCATGATTGGTAAGCAGGAGCCTCAGGTTTCATCCCTGGCACTGCATGGTCTGAGCACCCAGGAGTGCTGAGCAGGAAGAGCCCCTGAACACAACAAACAACAATATCACCACCAACAAACAGACAACAGCCAAAGAAGGAATGATAGTCATAGGCTTCTTAGAGGCTGTTCCTGTGGTGTGCATGTGGCAGGTCGGAACCGGCTGCTTTTAGAAGGGCCATTGCTTAGATGAAACCACTGCTGAGGAAGCTGCTGGAGATGGCACCTCTGTTAGGAATGCTGGTGTCCACTCAAAACTCCGACTCAATGGCTGCTGATCATGGAGCTGTGTCCCATGCAGAGTGGGGATCTTTCTTTCTGCCAAGGACTTTTAGGACATGATTTATGGATCATACAATACAGGCAGAGGGGCTCAAGTAGCCTGTAAGAGGCATTTGTGTCTTCTCCGTCATGTACCAGGCCAAACCACCAGGTATAGTGAGCTGGATGTTCTCACCAGGGCGTGCGTTCAGTGGACTGTGCAAGAACTGTGGCGGGAGGCTTGGCTACACTTTGCAGGTGTGGCTGCCCTCTTGTCTGACTTCTCTGGTTGGTCAAGCAGGTTGGAAATGAAAGTGTCTCCCAGAAGTTTGTTTTTGCCTTTGTGTGTGTGCTTTGGGATGACTGAGGGAATGGCCCATATCCAGCTCTTCCCAAAATCCCTTTCTGAAGAGTGTTGGGTGTTCTGCTTGAATTGGTCTGCATAGTGCTGACCCCTGGGAGCCATTGTTAGTAAGGACTGCTTGTATGTTTTGTTTTTGTGATGCATACAAGGGGATACTCAGAGATTACTCCTGGCAGTGCTTGGGGGATCATATAGGGTGCCAGGGATGGAACCTGGGTTGGATGCTTGCAAGGCAAATGTCTTAGCTGTACTATACCAGTAGGTCCACTTTTTGGCACTTTTTTAACACTCAGACTTATCTAACTTATTCTCCCCCATCCCCTAGAAAATGGAAGATGACATCTTTTCTCCCTTCACTGTTTTCTTCCCTTCACTTGTCTGAAGGCAACAGCATACTGTCCATGGTTCCTGCTTCATTCATTCCGTAGAATTTGTCTCATGAATTAAGAACCCACCAAACAGTTACAATGGCAAAGATAGAAAAAGGAAAAGAATCGAATCCTATTGACTCTCCAGGGCTATTTTTTCCTTAGTTCAAAGCTGCTCTCAGGGCAGTGATCCTCAGGCCCCTTCCTCCTCAAGGTTCAAGTTAAGGGAAAAAGAATTCTAAGCTTCCTTAAAGGCCAGATGGTTCCCTGTCCATTTCCTGCCTCCTGAACTGTATCGTCCTCACCTGGAAGGAAATCTCCTAGGATCCTTTGTTTTTTGATGCCCGGATGGAACCCAGGGTTTCTTCCCTGCCTCCAGGATCCACGGACCAAAGGGGCCCAAACACTGAGTTAAACTCGGGCTATGGAAAATAGAAGTGAAGAGGCAAGGTAGTAGAAAAGTAGAAGTTTCCTCTCTGTGGGAGGAAGCTCCTTACTGCCACCTCCTCCCTGCTCTCTCCTAGACTCCTGTGGGAAGAAGAAAAGTGCTGGGTGTGGGGAAGGAAGACCGGGGGAGGAAGGATGTCTGGCCTCAGATCCCTTGGCTTTCATTAATCATAAAGATAAAACATAATGAAGGGTAAATGGCGTGAAAAGTTTTGAAAGCACAAGCCCGCTCTAGGGTAGACGCCAGGTACCAGCCTCCTACTCCCGCGGGCACTACTCTTCGCTGGAAGGTGGAGTCGGCCCTTCAGCCAATCAGAAAGCTGCCTCGCGTTTCCCGGCGACCACTAACGCCGGGCAGTCGGAGCAGTCGAGGCGGCAGGGCGTTGAGAACGAGTTTCGTCAGCCAATCCCTGAGCTTTCCCGACGGTTGGGCGGTGCATCTGGAAGCCAGGGGGCGGGGCTGTTTCCTTGGCAACCGTCCCGGCCCCCTTGGCGGGCGAAAGGGTGAAGATTAGGAGAAGCGGGACAGGAGGCCGGGAGGACTGGATTTCGAGCTAGGCGGGGGGCGACCGCGGGAACCTCGACGAGCCCAGGGCGAGACGGGCGGTCAGTCCGGGTTCCCGAGGCGCGGGCCGAGGCTGACGACGAGGCCCCGCAGAGGAGGGGAGCTAGATACCGCCCCCGCTGGCGCCGGGAAGCGTCGCTCCTTCTCTCTGACCTTGGTCTCGCTTGTCGCCTCGCCCTTGGCCACAAGCACTGACGGGTTCCAGGCCCCGGGGGACAGACAGGTCGGTCCCTGAACCACGGAGACCTAGGACACAGGCACACAAAACTTGCCCCTGCCTCTCCCGCCGACTCCAGGGCGCCCGCTCCTCCCCACACCTCCACGCCGGGGCCATCCAGCCCAGGGTTAATGCCAACGAGTTTCCACCTCCAGTCGTTCCTAGAGAGGCCGTGGCGCTAGCCAGCGGGGGGAACTGGCCGAGGACGGACACTTCCTGTTCGGGGGGAGGGGGGTCGCACAGCCGCAGCCCAGCCCGGGGCTGGGGGGCCAGACTCCGGGGTCTCGGGCTGGGAGCGGTATCCGGGAGTGACTGGACGAGTCGTGAAGACCCTCAGTTCCGAAGCCACGACCTGCGGGGGGCCTGCGAGGGCCCGAGGAGAGCCGAGACCTTGTGGGTGGGGGCGGGGCCGCGGGGAGGGCGGGCCGGAGCGGCCCGGGGTCAAGACGTCCGGCCTCGGGGCCCGGGGCTGGGCAGCCGGGTCCCCCGAGCGGCGCTGAGTGGGCGGGCGGGCGGCGAGGGCCCGGGTCTCGGGGCACTCAGGCCGGGTCGCAGGATCGTCCGCCGTCACCGCTGCCGCCGCCGCACTGGGAGCCGGCGGGGATGGAACGGGAGGCGTCGCCGTGGGGCCTCGAGCCACGGGATGTGCAAAGCCCTGACGAAATGGGGAGCCCCGAAGGGTCCCTGAAAGGTGAGGGAGGAAACGCCCTCCGAGGAGCGTGCCTGGGAGCGGGAGAGGGGGCCACGGTTGGGGGGTTGGGGGGGTTCAGACCCCCGGCCTCGGAGGAGGCGGGGCGGGTCGGGTGTCCAGCTCGGGAGGGAGGGGGCACTTTCAGCACCTGCACAGGGCCAGCGACCCTGCTCCAGGAGGAGGTGGAGGTTTGTGACAAGTAAGGTGGGACCGAGTGACCTTCCAGGCCCCACACGATCTGGATTTTCTGTAATTCTCTGATCCTGCAGGCAATAAGAGTGAGAATGAGGAAGAGGAAACTTCTCAGCAAGAAGGCACTGGAGACTATGAGGTTGAAGAGATACCTTTTGGTCTTGACCCCCAGAGCCCTGGGTTTGAGCCACAAAGCCCTGAGTTTGAACCCCACAGCCCCAGGTTTGAACCTGAAAGCCCAGGTTTTGAGTCCCGAAGCCCTGGGTTTGTGCCCCCAAGCCCCGAATTCGCACCCAGAAGCCCCGAGTCAGATTCTCAGAGCCCTGAGTTTGAACATGGCAGCCCTAGATATGAGCCTCGCAGCCCTGGGTATGAACCCCGTAGCCCAGGGTATGAGCCCCGCAGCCCAGGGTATCAACCCCGTAGCCCAGGGTATGAACCCCGAAGCCCTGGGTATGAGCCCCGCAGCCCGGGGTATGAACCTCAGAGCCCGGAGTATGAAACTCACAATGCTGAATTCAAATCCCAGAGCCCTGAGTTTGAAGCTCAAAGTTCCAAATTCGAGGAAAGTGCAGAAACACTGCTGAGTTCTGAAGAAAAGACCCCCTTGAGCATCCCCCTGGGAGGCCACCCTTTGGACTCCTTCACCCAGGGCTTTGGGGAGCAGCCCACAGAGGGTTTGCCTCTGGGTCCGCCTTTTGAGATGCCCACGGGGACCCTGCTGTCTACACCCCAGTTTGAGATGCTCCAGAATCCCCTGGGCCTGTCGGGGCCTCTGCGGGGACCAGGTCGAAGAGGGGGCCGGGCCAGGGGTGGGCAGGGTCCTCGGCCGAACATCTGCGGCATCTGTGGGAAGAGCTTCGGGCGGGGCTCCACCCTGATCCAGCACCAGCGCATCCACACGGGGGAGAAGCCCTACAAGTGCGAGGTGTGCAGCAAGGCCTTCTCGCAGAGCTCCGACCTCATCAAGCACCAGCGCACCCACACGGGCGAGCGGCCCTACAAGTGTCCTCGTTGTGGCAAGGCCTTCGCTGACAGCTCTTACCTGCTTCGCCACCAGCGCACTCACTCTGGTCAGAAGCCCTACAAGTGCCCACACTGTGGCAAGGCCTTCGGCGACAGCTCCTACCTCCTGCGGCACCAGCGCACCCACAGCCACGAGCGGCCCTACAGCTGCCCGGAGTGCGGCAAGTGCTACAGCCAGAACTCCTCCCTGCGCAGTCACCAGAGGGTGCACACCGGCCAGAGGCCCTTCAGCTGCGGCATCTGTGGCAAGAGCTTCTCGCAGCGCTCAGCCCTCATCCCCCATGCCCGCAGCCATGCCCGGGAGAAGCCCTTCAAGTGCCCTGAGTGCGGGAAGCGCTTTGGCCAGAGCTCAGTGCTGGCCATCCACGCCCGCACCCACCTGCCCGGCCGTACCTACAGCTGCCCTGACTGCGGCAAGACCTTCAACCGCTCCTCCACGCTGATTCAGCACCAGCGCTCGCACACGGGTGAGCGGCCCTACCGCTGCGCTGTCTGCGGCAAGGGCTTCTGTCGCTCCTCCACGCTGCTGCAGCACCACCGGGTCCACAGCGGGGAGCGGCCCTACAAGTGCGACGACTGCGGCAAGGCCTTCTCCCAGAGCTCCGACCTCATCCGCCACCAGCGCACCCATGCGGCCGGCAGGCGCTGACCGCCTCTGGGGACCGGGAGGGTGGACCCAGGAGAGGGAGGCAGGGAGCTAGCGGACCCTTCGGAGAGGATGGAGCCGAGTGGGGGAGTCAGGTTCTGGGAGGAGCGGGGCCAGGGTGCTGGAAGTAGGTGCAGGAGGGAGGCCAGGCAGGCAGCAGGAGGCTCGGGGACAGCCGGAAGGAGGGGGGCATTGCTGGCCCCGGCATCAGCCTGCCCCACCTACGGGTGCCTGACTTGGCAGAGTGCTAAATGGGGTGGGGGGAGGGGAGGGAGGGTTGCGTCAGTCATTAGCGTGGGGGTAGCTTAGATTGGTAGCTGCTGAGAACCTCGTGGCGTCTGGAAGACGGGGTAAGAGGGCAGGTGGGTGGAGAGACCCGGGGGACCGGGCCTTTGAGTGCAAACCTCCCTCCTTGTCCTACTCAGACTTTGGAACCCCTGAATTTGAGTTCAATAAAAGCCTTTATGTGATAAGAACAACTCGTCCTTAAAATGTGTGCGTGCCCTGTGCCCTGGGCAGTGAGAGTCGTAGGGTGAACCCATGGGCCTTAGCAGCAAAGAGCTTTATATTCAGTTAGTCTTCCTAGACTGCGGCTCAGACCTGGCCATGTCTACCAAGTTCACGTCTGTTGTGAATCTGCACCCACGCCGACCCCCTGAGACATGAGGAAACCCTACTCTGTGACTCCGCAATCCCTTCCCAAATACGGCTTGTCCTTGGATCAGAAAATACCCTGATTCTCACATCCAGGCCTTGAACCTGAGTTCCACCCTTCCTGCTTCCTAGCACACAGATGTGCCGCCCCCTGCCCCTCACCCCTGTCCCCCAGAACCTCTGGCCAGCACTTTGTACAGGTGCTGACAGTCGCAACCCCACGGGGAGGCAACCTCCTACACCATCTCCCCAGACTGGCCTGAACCAGCCACAGCTCTGCCACCCGCTTAGGACCCCTGGGAGGGCCAGTGGACAGGACCACCCCACCACTACTCCACCTTTCCTGCCAGAGCCATATCCTCCAACATGGCTCTTTAGAAGGGGATGGGAAACGGGGCCATCAGAGCCTGGGGATTCTGGGGCCTGTTGGGATCTCAGTGAGAAAGAGGCCACACATTATGAGACAGCTGGCGAATAAGAGCCTCTTTCACAGCTGAAAAAAATGGAGCTCAGAGACCTGCCCTGTGAGCGTGCGGCTAAGATATCCAGTTGGCTGTGCCCCTCCGTGCCCCCTGCAGCTCGGCCTCACCTGGCAGGGCACTTGTCTTGCAGCTGGTCTGGCTTTGATCCCCAGCACCCTATAGGCTCTCCGGAACCTACTAGGAGAAATCCCTGAGCACAGATCCAGGAGTAAGCTCATGTCACCATTTGGTGTGACTCCAAAACAAAAAGGAAACTTTCGCACACTTGACACATTTTGTACAGACAGCCTACCACACCGTTTCAAATATTAACATACTCCAAATTTTACTTATAGTTTATCTGTGTTGAATAGAATTGTATTTGACTACCTGACCAATATTTAATTTTAGGCATTTGCTTAGACCTTCCTTTAGCTTTGTTTTCAGCAGAGGTTGGGGGGCGGGTATTACTCCTGGCTCTGCACTCAGGGGTTACTCCTGGTGATGGGACCATATGAGATGTTAGGGATCAAACCCGGGTTGGCTGTGTGCAAGGCATGCTTACCCACTGTGCTATCTCTCTGGCCCATCTTTGGTTTTTACTTCTATTCTTTGTTTTTTGGGCCACACCCTGCTGTGCTCAGAACTTACTCCTGGTTCTGCTCTCAGGGATCACTTCTGGCAGGCGTGGCCTTGCCACTGTACTATCCCTCTGGTCCCTTTTTGTTTTTCAGGAAGTGCTCAGGGGTTAATACCAGCACAGTGCTTGGGGCTCGCTCCTAGTGCTACTTGGGACCATGTGGTGCTGGGGATTAAACCCGGTCACTTTGAACTTTTTCTCTGGATCCCTAAACATTTATTTCAATTATGCAATTCAGCTTTCCTATTTTATTTTGCACTTTTTTTGCAGGGGAGGCATTGGGGTTTGGCCACACCTGGCAATGTTCAGCGGTTACTCCTGGCTCTACACTAAGGAATTAATTCTGGCGGTGCTCAGGGGACCATATGGAATGTTGGGGATCAAACCCAGTTGGGCCATGTGCAAGGCAAACGTCCTCCCCACTGTACTTGGCTCCGGTACCTCTACCCACTGTGTTATCTCTCCAGCCTCCTCCCAATCATTGTAAGTTTGATGAAATTATCCACTTTTTTTAGTGTCTCGGAATATCACTGCCTCAAAATTCCCTGACACATGGCAGAGTCTCTCCATAACCCTTCAACCTGCTTCTCCTGCCTTATTTTTCAACCAACTGACCACTACTGAATCACAGTAGTGCTTATTTTTGCAGAGCTGAGCATCAAAGCAGAGACTCACATGCAAGGCAAATGCTGTACTACTGAGCTACATCTGGGAGGTTTTGTGTGTGTGTGTGTGTGTGTGTGTGTGTGTGTGTGTGGTGGGCCACACCTGGTGGTGCTCAGTGTTTACTCCTGTCACTGCGCTCAAGGATCACTCCTAGTAGTTCTAGGAGACTGTGGTTCTGGGGATCAAATCAGGGTATGCCACATGCAAGGCACCTTTCCTGCTGAACTATCTCTCCAGTCCCTGTTTTCCCATTGGCACAGATATCTGTGAGGTAAGCACTTATCTGCTGGTCTCACACCATACAATAGGCCCCAACACACAACATTCAAAAAACACTGAGAGTGAAGGGAACAGTTCACAAGACCTCCAATGCCATGCAGAGTCCTGCCAGGGAAAGTTTCTCTGGGAAAGTGGCCCTTACGGGGCTAGAACGATAGCACAGCAGGTAGGGCGTTTGCCTTGCACACGGCCGACCCGGGTTTGATTCCCAGCATCCCATATGGTCCTCTGAACACCGCCAGGAGTAATTTCTGAGTGCAAAACCAGGAGTAACCCCATGTGCATCGCTGGGTGTGACCCAAAAAGCCAAGAAAAAAAAGAAAGTGAGCCTTACTTCGCTCTTGATGTCTTGCTTATGGGCCAGTCCCATGATCTCTGGGGCTGGTGCGTGGTGGTCTGTCTAGTGTGAGAGCAGCCAGAAGCTGGGAGAGATGGTTCTGGGCCTGGTGGGCCAACCTCGGGAATGGTCCTTTATTCCCTGGTGGCAGAAGAGGGCTACTGGAGGCCTCTGCTGGTGCAGGACCCAGCAGCCTTAATAGCCCTTCCTGTTGACCACAAGAGGGCAGCAGTGACCAGCCCCTCAGACCAGCCCTTCTAAAGGTGGGGCCTGAGGGTCAGGCCCTCCCATCACTAGGAACTGGGAGGTCAGATTTTCAAGAACAGTGAATCTCCAGGGCTCCTCTATGCCTCCTTCATTCTCTCTCCTTGCTTCTGGGTGGAGGGTAGTGGAACCATGGTGTCAAGAACTGGTCAGTCTGTGAGGGTCATCGATTGTGGCGGAAAAAGAAAGAAAAGATAAAGGAGAGCTGCCTAGTAAAATGGTGAGAAAAAAAATGTTCCTTTAACTGAGCAGGTTTGCACAAGAACATCACTGGTTCACATTTATTGCATGAATAAATGCAAGAACCATGTGTCGTAGGGGCCGGTATCATATAGGGCCTGGACAGACGAGGCTTGTGCTATGTGGTCAGTGGGGCAGACAGGAACTCTACAGTTGGGGAGAGCGGGGCTCCAAGAGGGGAGCACTATTCCTGAGGGAGTTGGGGTGGAGCAGAGATCAGAGGGGGTTGGAGGGCAGCAAGGGACAGCGAAGGTGGTTTTGGGAGGCACTTTAAGAGCACTGGGTCAGGGGCTGGAGCATAGCACAGCGGGTAGGATGTTTGCCTTGAACGTGGCCGACCTGGGTTCGATTCCCAGCATCCCATACGGTCCCCTGAGCACCGCCAGGAGTAATTCCTGAGTGCCGAGCCAGGAGTAACCCCTGAGCGTGACTCAAAAAGAAAAAAAAGAGTACTGGGCCATAAGAGCAAGGGCGGGGAGGCAGCCTCATTGTAGTGACATGGTCAAACTCGCTTTTGGGTCGCAGGCAGGACGTGGGAGTTGGAGGTCTTGGCAGGGTTGAGGGCCAGAGGGCAGCAGAGTGGAGGGTAGGTCTTGAGAGCACGAGCTTCTCCAAGACAGGGCTCCCCGCTTCCGGCCCATCCCTCAGAGCCTTCCTTCAGCCTGCAGCAGAGGCAGGCAGGAGGCTCTGTGAAAGAAGGAAAAAGGCCAGGAAGAGGTGAAACCCAGGCAGAGGCACCTGGCACCAGGCTGCAAGGGCAGCGCTGGGATGGCCTCAGGCTTTATCTGCTTCCGGGGCCTTTTCCTCCGGTAGGAGCTCAACGGCCTCCTCCTGTGGGGCTGATGGCTCTGAGTCTGCCGCAGGGAGCCCATTCGGAGTGTCTCCATTTGCTTCCATCATCTCCTTCAGATTCCGTTTGAAGAAGCCAACCTGTGGGAAGGCAGAGTGTGAGTGAGGTGCCGGCCCCTTCACACGGAGCACAAAGGCTGTTTCCTGGTGGAAAACAAGGGGGGGAGGGTCTGTGGCGTGGGCGGAACCTGCACATGGGTCCATTCCAGTTGGTTGGGCCTGACGAGGGACACTGATGGACACCACCGACCTGTGCCGAGACAGGGCTGAGGAGTACACTCCGCTTAAGCTGTTGAAACCAGGTGTACCTAGTCTTCGGCTCAGGCAGGGAAGTCAACTCTATTTACTCGTTTGTTTTGGTTTTGGGGCCGCACCTGGAGATGCTCAGGATTTACACTTGGCTCTGCACTCAGGAATTACTTGTGGCGATACTTGGGGGATGCCGGGAATAGAACCTGGGTCAGCCACGTGCAAGGCTAGAGCGCCCTACCTGCTGTATTCATGTTCTGTTCGGGGAATTCTACAGAATGTTAGGACAGGGCTGGGAAGCTGGCTCGAGGCAGGTATACGTGTTTCACTGGCAGCTATCACGACCCTGAGCCATCCCCTGAACACTGCTGGTGGGCCCAAAATAAAAAAATAAAAAAAGACAAAATCTTGCCCTTTCGACTTTGGGCAAATGTTGGATGATCCCACACATATGTGGTGTATAAAGAAGCAAAGTAGAAAGGCTGGCGCATAGGACAGTGCGGGCTGGCATGCGGCCCACCGGACTCAGTCCCAGTATCCCATTATGATCCCCTGAACACCGCAAGAAGTAATTCTTAAGTGCAAAGCCAGAAATAACCCTGAGCATGGCTGGGTATAGCTACCCCTTGGCCCCGCCAATAAAAGAAAAAGAAAAAAGGCAAGCAAGCAGAAGGGCTGGAGTAATAGCCAGCAGATAGGGCGCTTGTTTGGCATACCGCTGGCCTGTGTTTTATCCCAGGCACCTCATATGGTCCCTGGAGCCTGCCAGGAGTGATCTCTGAGCACAGAACCAGGAGTAAGACCTGAGCAAAGCTGGGGGTGGTTCCCACACAAACAAACGAAAAAAAGAAAAGAAGTTGAGAGCATGTGGGAGGGCTGAGTTCCATCCCTGGCACGGCATGTTCCCAGAGCCAGCTGGGAGTGACTTCAACAGCCAGAAGTAGCCCCACAACACTGCCAGAAATGGCCCCCCAAAATAAAACCAAACTAACAACAAAAGAAACAAAGCAAGGGAAAGACTGTTAAATGGGAACAAGTTCTTGGGCTACAGAACTGAGGTTAGCAAGTGGGGAGAAAGAGGGCTGGGGGCTGCATGGGGCTGGCTAAAGCCAGGCAGGGGCAGCAGTGGGGGGTCTTGGGCACTGGGGGTGCTGGAGGTGCAGTAACTCTGTACTGCAGGCATGAGCTCTAGATGAATCCATGTTACCTCAATAATGAAACATTATAAATAACCCGAACCCAGAAGAATATAAACAAAATGGTTATTAAGGACAACTCGGGGTTACAATAAGAAGAAAGTTTGATTTTCCAGTTTCTCTTTTCTGGAGGATTTGGTTTTCCCCGTGGAACATCTTCCCTACAACACTCCCGGTCTGGGATAACTTCTGTTCATCCTTCAAATCCCACTCCAAGACCACCGCCCTGGGGAGGCCTTCCAGGACTACACTCCCTTCCCCTCCCCTCCCCCCCACCCCATCAGGTTTCCTTTTCCAGCCTCAGCACATACAGGCCTCCTAGTGGATCTTTCTTCCTCTTTTTTTGTGCCCTGTGGTGCCAGGCAGTGACTAATTGGTGCCAGCCTGGACCCTCCATACCAAGGTCACTCCCTCCCTCTGATGGCTGAGTACTAGCTCTGCTGGGATCAGAGGTAGGGGTGGCAGGGAGAGTTATAGGGTGGGGAGTCTTACTTGCTTTGTGGGCCTGTGGCCTCTATAGGAGAGAGTTGAGTTTCTTTCTCTTCTTACTCCCTTCCTTCCTTCCTTCCTTCCTTCCTTCCTTCCTTCCTTCCTTCTGTCCTTCCTTCCTTCATTCCTTCCTTTCCTCCTTCCCTCCTTCCTCCCTCCCTCCCTCCCTTCCTTCCTTCCTTCCTTCCTTCCTTCCTTCCTTCCTTCCTTTCCTTCCCTCCCTCCTTCCTTCCTTCCTTCAATCCTTCCATCCCTCTCCTCCCTCCCTCCCTCCCTCCCTCCCTCCCTTCCTTCCTTCCTTCCTTCCTTCCTTCCTTCCTTCCTTCCTTTCCTTCCTTCCCTCCCTCCTTCCTTCCTTCCTTCAATCCTTCCATCCCTCTCCTCCCTCCCTCCCTCCCTCCCTCCCTCCCTTCCTTCCTTCCTTCCTGCCTGCCTGCCTGCCTGCCTGCCTGCCTGCCACACCCGATGGTACTCAGGGGCTACTTCTGGCTCTGCACTCAGGAATGACTCCTGGTGGTGCTTGGGGACCACACGAGGTGCCGCAGGTCTAAGCAGGGTCTGCCCCCTGCAAGGCAAGCGCCTAACTCCTGTCCTGTTTCTCTGGGCTGGAGGCTCTTTCTAATCTTGTCTCTGATTTTCTCTGTACTCTCCTCCCTGACTCCAGACCCACTTCCCCAGCCTGGGAGATTCAGCAATACCCCTTAGTCCCATCACCCTCACCTTGTAGAGCACCCCGAAAATCAGCAGCAGCACCAACAGCCCCCCGATGGTGCTCAGCAGGTAGAGGTGGAGCATGTTCTTCTCATATATGATGTCAACCTTCATGACGACCTGGGGAAGGAGGTGGGGGCGTGCAGGGAGGAAGCCGTGTCCCTCACCACTTCCTGCAAATCCAGCTCCAGCCTTTCCCACTTGGTCTATACCTGATCCCAACTCGGTGCGGACCCCCACAGCTCCTGCAGTGAACTGGCAGCCCCCATCCTTGCCTCAAGCCCCTAAATGGTTCCCCTCGGCCGTGGATGACCAGCACCTCCACTCTGTGGGCAGAATCTTCTAGAAGCTGACTTCTGCTTGCCTTCCTTCCTAACTCCAGCTCCCTGCCACCCCTGTGCTTCCTGCTCTCAAGCCACTGTGGTCGCCTTTACAGGAGGCCGGCCTTGGCTGCTCTCTGCTGAGCTCACTGTCTGTGGCTCCACCAAATCCCTGTCCCTGACGCATCCCCACAGTGCCTCGGCCTCCCTCTTCCAGATCCTTCTCTCACAGAGGACAGCTACCTGGGCCAGGGAGGCGTTGCTGCCGTAGAGGTGGAAATACTTGGGACTGTTGAAGGAGACGAAGACAGAACTGCAGAGACTGAGCATGGCGGAGTCCTGGGGGGCCGCAGAGGGGGGCGGGGGCGTCAGGCCAGGGAGAAGAAGGATCCAGGGGCCACTGAGTGCTGCCCGCCCCATGAATCCCGGGAGCAGCCGGGAACAGGACCACGGGTCCCCATCTCTGCTCAGTTCCCTCCTGGAATGCTCTGAGGCAACCCTCCACATTGGCAGAGTTTGTCTATACAGTGTCCCCCAGCCCAGCTCTGCCCCACAGCTGCGGCGTTGGGAGCGTCTGCTGCCTGCGGGCCCTACCTTGATGTCCTCCTTGAGCTCCAACGTGCCCGCCACTTGCAGATCAAGCTCCTTCTGGGAGGGCAGCAGGCAGCGGAGCTGGGCTGCCGACAGACAAGGCTTCTGGGAGAAAGGAAGGCGGAGGCGCGGGGTTGGGGCCGGCCCTGGACTGTCCCCCTCTCCCCCAGCCCACAGGCCGCACCTCAGGCAGGCTCAGCCGTGTGACTTCCTCCCGGTGGCAGCTGAGGTCAGAGGCCTGGGAAGGGGAGTGAGACGGTCAGTAAGCTCAGAGCTGGGCCCCCGGGAGCTGCCCGTTCCTCCCCACCAGTCCGGGGACCCTGGTTCTTCCCCTTGCGTCCCCAGGTCCCTCAGGAGTCCCCGTCCTGGCTCCCTTCTCATCCGGGGGCCCCCACAAACCTGCTGGTCTGCCCACATCTTTACACTCCACGTCTGCTCGATGAGGCTCTCACTCTGAGGCGCCGGGACCCTCACCAACGCCTCCAGGTCGGGCGTTTGGCCACTGACAGTATCTTCCCCTGGCACGGGCAGAATCCTCACCTGGCACGGGTAGCAGAGGGCTGGAGAGCTGGCTCAGCCCAAGTCAGGGCAGCGGGGTGCAGCCCCCAAACCCCACAGTACAGGCACCACGGGCTTTCCTGTCGCCTCCACAGCTCAGCTGCCAGCCACAGCGCCCAGGCCCACTCCCTCCTCATGGCCAGCTCTGGTGAGGTGGCTCCAACCTCCTGGTCTGGGGCCCTCTCTGGAGGAAACCGTTTCCTCCACGGAAAAGTGGAATGACTCCACTGGGTTAATGCCTGATCTGGTCTCTGGGTCGCCTCTACAAGACCGAGGGGACTTCAGTTTTTTTTTTCCTTTCCTTTTCTTTTTGGGTCACACCCAGTGATGCACAGTGTTTACTCCTGGCTTTGTGCTCATGAATTGCTCCTGGTGGTGCTCGGGGGCCCATATGAGATGCTGGGAATCGAACCCGGGTCAGGTCAGCTGCGTGCAAGGCAAATGCCCTACCCATTGTGCTGTCACTCCAGCCCCAGGACTCAAGTTTTAGCCTCGGGACATGACCCTCTGGGGAGCCCCCTAAAGCAGACAGCTCTGTGTCCAAGCACAGGAGCAATGATGGGTCCTGAACGTGGCTGCGGCACCTGGTGATGGGGCCAGGGCTTGAACTTGACCTTTCCCTTTCCAGCTGTTCTCTGGCAGGCGGCTTGGCCCGTCCAGGACCTGGATGTCTTCTTTGGGATATGGGCATGATAAGCTCAATCTGCCGGGGGGCTTTCTGGTGGGTGTGAGAACCCGGGGTGCTGCCCAGCACCTAGCCTGTGGCCTAAATGACAACAGTGGCTTATGGAATGTCTGGAGAGCGAAGCAGAGGCTCCCGTTCTGCACTGTACCGATAATTTTCCCAGCGGAGGAAGGCTGGGGACATGCTGCTGTCCAGTTGGGTCCTGTCTCCTGGGGCCCTGGGAGGGAGCTGAATGACATTTGACCTCTAAAGACCTTTGTACCCTGAATCCTACCTTGTAGAAGTGTGTGACCTCGTGGATCCTGGTCCCCTGGGGGGTGAAGCTGACATAGAGCGTGGAGTTTTCCTGGCTGAGACAGAGAAGAGCGGAGGTGAGGGGAAAGGCAGGCCAGGCTCGGGCCGGCTCAGGACCACCCCCAGCGAGGCTTAGGTGTTCCTCCTGGCTCTGAGCTCAGGAATTACTGCTGGTGGTGCTCAAAGGACCCTGTAGGATGCTGGGGATGGAACTTGAGTCGGCTGCATGCAAGGCAAGTGCCCTCCCTACTATGCTATCCTCCACCTTTGGGCTTAGTCTTGGCCCCGCTTCTCTTCATCTGCGCTCAGTCCTCATGCACCCAGGCTGATGCTCTCCCACCCTCCTTCTCTGAGGGTACTTCCTGTCACACTGGTCTGGTGGGAGTGTGACTCTGTCAGCCCTGCAGGCGAGGGGCCCTGGGCCTGCTTCCCCACTGGTTTTGCCCTGCTTGGCCCTGGGAAGGCAGGGAGGCAGGCCTGGCTGGAAGTGGGGCTCAGGGCTGGGCGAACTTTCCTCCACATGCAGGTTTCAGCGCTTCTTGGACCTGCCCTCCATTCCGCAGCGTGCTCTGAGAAGGTTGGGGAGCTGCCCAGTGGCCCCCAGGCCCAGAGGGCCTTAGGTCAACCCTCAAGGCACTTCCCCTTCCCCTGCCACTTCCTCACGCCACTCCTCCAAGGCCCACACTCTGCAGGGTTGAAAACTGTTGGCAGGAGCCAGAATGATATAGCACAGTGGGGACAGCATTTGCCTTGCACGTGGCCGATCCAGGTTTGATCCCCGGCATCCCATATGGTCCTCCCATGCTCCACCAGGAATGATCCCTGAGTGCAGAGCCAGGAATAACCCCTGAGCATCGCTGGGTGTGGTGGTCAAACCAACCAGCCAACCTCCTGCTCACCACCCCCCACCCCAACCATATTATCAGTTCTAATGACCCTGGCAGGGCCAGGGGACTCCACGGGGGAGGCTGAGAGGTCTGGAGGGCTGAGGGTGACGCTGAGCAGGACTTACTCCTCAGTGAGGATGTTGATGGGATGCAGCACTGTGGTGTTGCTGGTGGCCTTGTTGTCCTTCTGGAGGCTGGTGTCCTCGTTCTCACTGCCCAGGGAAGGGGGCGTGTTAGGGGCAGTGCAGTTGGGTGAGGGGGCGGGGGTGCAGGGCACCTGGGGCTTCTCACCAGCTCACATTGGCGTGTAGCTCCACATAGTCCTTCCAGGTGTTGTTGGAGAGGGTGTGGAACATCACCTGCATGTCGACCTGGCAGGAGGAGGAGGAAGGAAGGGTTGAATTTCAGACACCAGCCACCTCCTGGAGAGCTCGGGGCGTTCTAAGCACTGGACTAGGGGTTGATTCCGGTGTTCAGACAGGGAGCCTGAGTGGCGAGGGCGCAGCCACGGCGGTCAAGCTCTCCAGTCTGAGTGTTGGCTCTCCGGGGGAGCAGGGCTGGCCCCTCCCTGCCAGGACTCCGTACTCACTGAGCGGCCTGCTCTGAAGATGGGAGAGCTCACGTTGCAGGTGAGTCTCCTGAGGTCGGCCTGGGGCTCCCCAGGAAGCTCCTCACAGCTTGCAGGGATCTGGCTGTGGGGCTAGAGGTGAGAAGGATTAGAAAGGGCAGCTGAGGGGCCGGAGCAATAGCACAGCGGATAGGGTATTTGCCTTGCATGCGGCCAACCCAGGTTCAATCCCCGGCACCCCATATGGTTCCCCAACACCACGAATAATTCCTGAGTGCAGAGCCAGAAGTAACCTCTGAGCATAGCTGGTGGTGACCCAAAAGGGAAAAAAAAAAAGATGATTTTTGGGGCTGGAGCGATAGCACAGTGGGTAGGGCATTTGCCTTGCACATGGCCAACCCAGTCTCCAATGGAGATGTTACTGGGCCCGCTCGAGCAAATTCCCAGCATCCCATAAAAACTGCCAGGAGTAATTCCTGAGTGCATGAGCCAGGAGTAACCCCTGTGCATCGCCAGGTGTGACCCAAAAAGCAAAAAAAGAAAAGAAAGGGCACCTGAGGTGACCAGAAACCCTGCACACCAGGGTCCACTCCCATCAGGGCACTGTCCCTGGGCAGGGGATGCTTGTTCTCAGAAATGGGGCCAAGGAATCAGGGGACAGGCAGCTTTATCGCAGGTGATCACAGAGAAACCTGGACGAATCGAGCCATTTGTGGAGAAAAGCCAGTCGGGGCCTCTGGCCCAGTCACTGGACAGGCCTGGGGGGCAGCTCAAGGGCTGCCGAGTCCACGCAGTCAGCAAGGGTTTGAGCAACGAGCTGGCTACCACTTCCGCTTGGTCACACTTGCCAGGACAGGGCAGCCTCCCTTAGATAAAGTCTCTGAGGATGGGGAGGTTCAGAGTCTCCCCGGGGTCTCCCCACGGGGGAGGAAACGGGAGCTGATTGCACACCAACTCGGGTCAGGGGGAATCGTTGCTTAAGAGGGGGGAGTCTGTGATGACGAAAGTGCTCACAGCGGTCATGGTTGCACAACTCCGTGGACTCTACATGAAGCCACGAATTGGCTGCTCCACCCCTGCGCTAACCCTCCAAGAAAGGACTAAAATGGAAAGTTTGATTTTTTTTTCCCCAGGGCCAGGAAGGCCCTTAAACATTCAAGGCAGACTCTCTACTGGTCAGCTAAATCCCGTGCGTAAAGTGGTAGTTTGTTTTTCGAGGGGAGGTGGGCAACAATACCTGACTGTGCTTAGGGGCTACTCCCAGGGGTGTACAGAGGACCCGCAGTGCCAGGGATCACAGCTGGGCCTCCCACAAGCCTTGCATGTGCTCTCCGCATTGAGCTTTCTCTCTGCCCCCAAATGGTAGATTTTATGCCTATTTTACCACAATGAACATTTACACACACACACACACACACACACACACACACACACACACAACATGGAAAGCACAATGCCAATGAATGACAAGTTTAGAATAAATAAATGCATATGTAATTTTTGGGTCTGTGCACTGATAAACATGAAGACAGATACCAGGATATTAAATTATATATGAATAAGTGTCAGTTATAGAGCATATGTGACGGTTGTCTGTAAATTGCAGATTTCCAACTTTCTGTGGGGATCTGGGATCACTTTTGTTTACATTTATTTGTTTAATTTTGCTTTTTTGGGTCACACCCAGTGATGCTCAGGGGTAACTCCTGGTTCTGCACTCAGGAATTACTCCTGGCAGTGCTCAGGGAACCATATGGGATGCTGGGAATCGAACCCGGGTTGGCCGCATGCAAAGCAAATGCCTTACCTGCTGTACTAGCTCCGGTCCTGGGATCATTTTTGTAATGATAAAACAAAAGCGTCTATGAAACAACCTAGACAAGTCTTCAAAACGTGATGGCTGGGTTCGCCCCAGTTCAGGGGGGAGCTCATGGCTGGGTTTGATCCCCTGCACTGCCTGCTTCTCCCAGCACCACCAAGGGAGGCCCCATTAAAACAAACAGGGGCTGGAGTGATAGCACAGCAAGTAGAGCATTTACCTTGCACAAGGCCAGCCAGGGTTCGAGTCCCAGCATTCCATATGATCCCCTGGACACCAGGAGTAATTCCTGAGTGCAGTCAGGAGTAACCCCTGAGCACCACTGGGTGTGACCCAAAAAGCAAAAAAAAAAAAACAAAAAAAACCAAGCAAACAAACAGGGTGACCCCTTGCAGGGAGAGGTGGTGGCTCTCACTAAAGTGCACATCACTATGGTCACAGGTACACAGGGGTCACTGTCCCTGAGCTGCTGCTGGCCTCCATGTCTCACTCGCTAAGGGTATCCCCAGCCTCTGGTTTCCACTGTGGAATCTGAGGCCCGAAGAACTAGAGAGTGACCAGCAGGCAAGACCCAGAGGTACCCTGCCACCTGTTCATGCTGGTGGCTCCCCCAGGGGCCCAGCCAGCTCCTCACCTTGAGTACCCCCACTTTGCGGAAGGAGAGGCCCCAGGGGTAGCGCAGGTCCAGCCGGACCCAGTAAGCATCTTCTCTCACGTTCCTCAGCGTCAGCACCACAGAGAAGCTGGCAGAAGGTGTCAGTCGCAGAGCTGTGGAGCTGGGGGAAAGATCAGGACAAAGTTGTGTGTGCCAAGACAAAAGGAAGCAGGAGCAGAGGGGGGTTGGGGATACCTGCTTAGCTGGGGGATCTGCTTCCCAGTAAATGTAGCAATAAATATGCAGAGCCAGCAGAGCTGGAGTGACAGGACAGTGGGCAGGACGCTTGTCTAGTACAAAGCTGACTTTTTTTTTTCTTTTTGGGACACACCCGGCAATGCACAGGGGTTACTCCTGGCTCTGCACTCAGGAACTACTCCTGGCGGTGCTTGGGAGACCATATGGGATCCTGTGAATCAAACCTGGGTTGGCCTCGTGTAAGGCAAATGCTCTACCCACTGTGCTATCGCTCCAGTCCCCCAACCCGGATTTGATCTCCAGTACCCTACATAGTCCCCTGCTCCCTCTAGGAGTGATCCCTGAGCGCAGAGCCAGGAGTAAACCCTGAGCACCACCGGATGTGGCCCCCAAACCAAAACAAACAACGAAAAAAGCGGCCTCTCTGCCCAGCCTTTCTGTGCTGTGCCCTTGTCTCATCCTGACCGATGGCTCCTACTTCTCGGGGGCAGCGAGGCCCAGGGCCACCCCCAGTGAGGCAGCCTTGACCTCCAGCACACAGGTGCCTGGGAATTCAGTGAGTGGGATCGGGGTGCGGCGTGCAGAGCCACTCAGACCTTCCAGAGAAGGACAGCTGCAGGTCGGCCTCACACTGCTTATCCTCGCCACAGTTCTTCTCAAACGGGATCTGAAAGCCGAAGAGAAAGGGTTGAGGGCCCAGGTCTGCAGCCCCAGGAGGGCCAGGCTCTGGTCTCTCCCTGCCCCACTTGCCCTGGTACCTCCTTTGTTTCTGAGTGTGGCGACGGTCTCAGGATGGGCCGCACGTCCTGGCCCTGTAGACCAGACAGGCCAGGAGACAAGAGGGTTAGTGAGATGGCAGAATGCACGGAGCAGGCCTGGGGGAGCTCAGGACTGTGCCCAGCAGAGCCAGTCATGCTGTGTCCCTGCCAGGGCAGGCCCCGACATTCCAACTCAGCCTCAGGCAGCTCCCTGAGGGGGTCCAATCCCTGTCCTGACAGGAAATCTGGAACTTGTCAACGCAGCCCTCACTGGCAGGAAGGCCTGGTGTCACAGCCTCTGAGCATTCTGCCTCTGACGTAATCTTCATTTCTCACCTAAGAGCAGCTCCATCTCTCCTCAGATTGATGCTGCTTTCTTCACTGGCAGACACACTGCCCTCTCACAGAACCAAACAGACGCCAGAGAAACCCCTGTGCTTTGTCTGATGAGAACAGAAGTATCAGCCCGCACACTTAAGAGCATGTACCAGGGACTCCTGCCCCATGTGGGCATCAGGGAAGCTTCCTGAAGGCGCTTGAACTGAAATTTACTCTTTGGATTACACCTGGTGATGCACAGGGGTTACTCCTGGCTTTGCACTCAGGAATTACTCCTGGCAGTGCTCAGGAAACCATATGAGATGCTGGGAATCAAACCTGGGTCAGCTGCATGCAAGGCAAATGCGCTACCCGCAGTGCTATCGCTCCAGCCCCTGAACTGAAATTTAAAGGGTGGAATCCAGATGAAGAGACTGGAGAACAGGAAGAACCGAGCATCAAAGGCCCACACCAAGGGAGACAACCGTGCGGAAGTCTGCATGGCTACTGCTTTCTTGGGGTCCTGTTTAGGTGCGGCCGTGTGACTCGGTTCTGACCAATGAGGTCTGAAGGAAGGCATTGCCTGATTTACAAGAGTCATTAAAAACTTATTTTGGTGACTGGGCTGGGCACCAGGTCCTTAGCCACACAGAGTCCCTGCTCTCTGACCGAGGCAACGCCCCCCAGGAAGGGGCTGAAATTTACTCTTTTTGTTCACACTCTCTTCATACTCGGCATCTTTTTCTCTTTTTAGTATTGGGCCACACTCAGGAGTATTCAGTGGGCCATGCTGTTCTGGGGACCAGACTCAGGGCTGTCACATGCAAGTTTTAACTTCTGGGCAAGGGGGTACCCTGAGGAGGTTCGGTCGCTTTCTTATTCACTCTGCTAGAGAGTTCCAGAGTCTCTTCCTTTCCCAAATTTCCCTTAAATACAAATACTCCCCCTAACCCTATTCTGCTCCAGGCAGCCATCTTTGATTTCTATTGCTTCATAGAAAAGACTCCTAGGGCCAGAGTGCGAACAGCAGGTATGACACTTGCCTTGCACACGGCCCACCCAGGTTTTATGCCCTGGCATCCCATCTGGTCCCCTGAGAACCACCAAGAGTCATTCCAGAGCTAGGAGTAATCCTTAGTACCACCAGGTATGACCCTAAAACAGAAAACTGAACAAAAACAAAGAGAAGCCTCCTGGGGAGTAGACACAGTATACAGAGACGAGGGTGCTCTGTTTTGTACGTGACCAGTCCCAGTTCAAATCCCAGATACCACCCATGGGTCCTGGAGCACCGCTGAGGTCACTCCCGAGTAAGAGCCAGGTGCGGTCGTCATTGCCCCTCCAAAAATAAATAAATAAATAAATAAATAAATACCCCTAGGCCGGGGTGGAGTTCAGTGGGAGAGCATTCGTCTTCCATGAGGAGGGACCCCTAACACCAAAAAAGAACCTCACTGACTTGAATGTCTACTTTCCTCCATTTCCTAAAGACCCCCATGAGCTCTTCTTACCGCCTTTCGGGCCTCTGGTGTCTCCTCCTCCCAGAGAGAGTAGTTCAAGGAGGCGTTGATGGGGGAGATGAGGTCCTGAATGCAGCCCTGAGGGGGGAGACAGGCTCCGTTAGAAGTCTCACCATTCCCACATTTCCACTTGAATGCACACCTGGCCCACATTTTATCAAGTGACATTCTAGAAGCCAACATTGTGGAAATACATTCTAGAAGCCAACATGTGGAAATACTCTATTTTTCAGTATTCCTTTTTCTCTCGTTTTTTCTTTTTTAAAATGTTTGGGCCATACCCAGCAGTGCTCAGGGCTTAGTCCCGGCTCTGTACTCAGGGATCACTCCTGGATGTTTTGGGGTGCCAGAGATCAAATCTGGGCCAGCTGCAGGCAAGGCAGATGCCTTTACCCCTGCACTGTCTCTCTGTTTATGACAAATCTCACGTGCTTCTTAGCACTACTCCCAGTCCTCAAAGCACTTTCCCCCAGGGCTCCTAACAGAAGTGCCTGAATCTTTGGAACTGCTCTGAGCAGCCATGATCAAAGCTTTCACAAGAAAAAGAATCTTCTAGAGTAATTTGAATACGCCAATTCCTGGAGGACAGGGAAGAATCTTAATCTTCATGTTGTCAGTGCTGCTTGACAAAGGCAGTTTAGAGGTTGTTTAATATTAAAAAACAGGGGCTGGGGCTACAGTAGCACTGCCCTGTAGCACTGTTGTCCTGTTGTTCATTGATTTGCTGGAGTGGGCACCAGTAACATCTCAATAGTGAGACTTGTTGTTACTGTTTTTGGCATATCAAATACGCCACGGGGAGCTTGCCAGACTCTGCCGTGTGGGCGGGATACTCTCGGTAGCTTGCCGACTCTCCAAGAGGAACGAAGGAATCAAACCCAGGTCAGCCATGTGCAATGCAAATGCCCTACCTGCTGTGCTATCACCGCAGCCCACTTTCTGGTCAGGAAGGGTTAAAGTACTTGCTTGCGCGTTGTGTGAGTCTGAGACACTGCCCCCTGAGCATCTCTATCTCTGGGGAATGATTCCTGAGCACCGAGTCAGCTCTGAGCACTCAAGGGTTTACCCCCAAACCCCAACAAACAAAAACAATAACAACAAACGCCCTTGGGGCCTGCAGGACCAGAGCAGGGGCCTAGAGAGCTTGCCTCAAGTCCCACATGCGCTTAGCACAGTCCTGGCAGCTCTGTGCCTGTGATCCTCAGCACCACGAGGATTTCTGGACACACCACAAGCAGCTTGTAAGAAAACCACAGAAGGGTGCCACCTGCTGCTGGACCTGGCCTGGGAGCTCCTGAGCCTCTTATTTCTACTTGGTTATGCTTCGAGCACTGGAAGTAATCAAATGTGTGAACACTGTGTCCCGAGGGTGTTACTTCTGACAGCACATAGGGAGCACCCTGCACCTCCCCTTGGTGAGCCCCACAACCCTACTCATGTGCCTCATCGAAGAGTACGATCCCCGGGAGCACGCATGCATGCAGCTGGAGCACTGCAGGCAGGTGTGTGAGCACTGCCATCTGTGAGCAGCCCCAGGGAGCATCAGGTTGAGATGAGAGGACCCTGCCGGGCATCTCATCACAGCAGCACTGCCAATCACAATGAAGGAGGAGGTAAAAAAAAATGTTCAAGATGTGGCTTTTTTGAGTAGGTGCTCCCAAGCAGTGCTCCCAAGGCTCAGGAGACATCTGACCAACTGCCAGGGCTTGCAGTAGGCCCAGAGATGCTGGGAGGGGCTGGAGTGATAGCACAGCAGGTAGGACATTTGCCTTGCACGCGGCTGACCCAGGTTCGATTCCCAGCATCCCATATGGTCCCCTGAGAATATTTCAGGAGTAATTCCCGAGTGCAGAGCCAGGAGTAACCCCTGTGCATCTCCAGGTGTGACACAAAAAGCAAAAACAAACAAACAAAAAAAAAACCAAACAGAGATGCTAGGAGCCACCAGGGCTATGGGGTTCAAATGTGGGTCCTTATGCAGCCAAGATGTGTCACTCCAGCCCTTTGAACCATCTCCTCCGCCTCTGTCAGGGTGTTTTTTTCTTTCTTTTCATTTTCAAAGAACTCTTTCTGGGATGGATGTTAATAATTAGTAAATGAACCAGCATATAACTTGCCACTGAGACCAAATATTCTGTAGCCATTAAAATAATGATGAGAACAGAGGAGAAAGTGCAAGTGCTCTGCATGTGGAAAGCCGGGGTTCAGTCCTTGGCTCCATGTGTTGCTCTAAGCATTTCAGGAGTGGCCCTGAGCACTGAGCCAATAGTAGCCCCTGAAAACTGTTAGGTGTGACCCTCCTAAACCCAACTTTTTAAAAAACACAACAACTGGGTAACAACAAACATATGAAGTATGAAAAACGTAGGGAAATGTAAGTACATTGCAATTACAATCCTGTTACAATGCCTCTGGATGAACACAGCTCAACAACCAGAAGCAAACATGTCGCCTGTGTAATTGTGGGCAGGGGAGAGAGTTGACACAGAGAAGTCACAGGCCCCAGGTCCCGGTGGGATGGTGACAGTGCGCCTTGCAGGCAACCTGCGCCTCCACCAGTCACTTCCCCAGAAACCCCTCTGGCTCCCTTACCGGGAAGTAGAACCGAAAGTCGATGCAGGATTGGTTTGGGGTGACCATGGTGTAGTCGCTGAGTTTGTGTTCCCCTCCTTGAAACAGGCCCCGGCTCCGCATCCGATGGCCGTCCAGCTGCAGCGTGTATGTGAGGTTGGCAACCAGGGTCCCTGGGCAGGCGAGAAGGCAGATCTCGCCTTCTGAACAGTGGCAGATCCTGGGGCCAAAGGCCCAAAGGCCTGAATATGAGATGGGCAGCTGCTCTGCAGAACAGGGGAATTGCACTGACCTTTGAACTGGAGGGTGACAGGCTTGACTTGGAAGCAGACTCTGAGTTTGATGCCTTCCTTCTTCTTGTCGCTGGGTGGATGGGAACATTCCACCTCATGCACTGGGATCTCGGCAGGTGAGAAGGACATTACCGTGATGATGTCCACTACAGGCCGGGAGCTGCAGAACAGAGAAGGGTGACATTTGTCCTTGCAGGCGAGGCCTCAGACACTGTCTCCTGTCTGGCAAGAGCGACTGGGCTCCCTGGTTCGTTCTAGCATCTTCTGATGAGTTTTCATGTACAGTGAGATTTTATTTTTATTTGGGGAAAGGGGTTGGGTCACATCCAGAGGTGATCAAGGCTTAACCTGACTCTGTGATCCCAAGAGCTCACTCTTGACAGGGTTCGGGGGACTGTATGGATGCTGGGAATGGAAGCCGGACTGGCTGGTGCAAGACACATGCCCTACCGCTGTACTATCACTCCAGCCTTAGAGTGAGATTTTAAAAGAGCCCCTTACCCTTCAGTGATGCTGCATGAAATTCAGAATAAAATTCTGAGTTGACTTTCCGTATCATCCGTCCCGCCCACTCTCAACTCCTGCTACCTCTTGCCTTTGACTGTTTTCCAACCAGGCCAGGCATTTGCCTGCCTAAAAGCCTCGGTGCATCCTTGTGTTCTCCACCGGAAGTGCTCTCACCAGATTCTGCAAGCCTGGCTCTCTCTCCTCTCTTAAGTCTCAGCTCAAATATTAGCTCTTCAGAGAAGCTTCTCTCGCAGTGCCCTGCTCAATTCCCTCGGGGCAGTCATCACGTTTGCTTTTGGTTTGGTTTGGGGCCACAGTTAAATGGTATCTGAGGGGTACTCCTAGCTCATTGCTTGGGATTGCTCCTGACAGAGCCGGGGTGCTGGGTATCCAACCCAGGTCTCCAAGCTAAGCATGTGCTCCAGCCCATTGAGCTAGTTCCCTGGCTCCCACAATTTGTATTTCCTTCATTAATTTTCATTATTTGTCTAATTTGCATTATGTTTTTTCTCACACTTACTTTGTACCCAGTGCTGGTTCAATATTTAAGAACTAGCAGGCCCTCCACAGACACTAATTTACTATTTGACCTTAGCTGGTGCTTCCAGAACACTAAGACAGGGGTAAGGCAGCACACATCACCCATATGACAAAGATAAGGAAACTGAGACCCCCAAGAAGTTAAGTGATTGGGGTAAGGTTACCCAGATCATGAGTGGCAGTAATTTAGGTTTTTTGATCAAGTTTTATTTTCATTTATTTATTTATTTATTGACCACATCTGGCAGTGCTCAGGGCTTACTCCTGGATCTGTGCTCAGGGATCACTTCTGGCAGACTTGGAGGATCATTTGTTATGCTGGGGATTGAACTTGAGTCAGCCACAAGCAAAGCAAGGACTTACTCCCTGTACTTTCTCCTCAGCCCCTAAGTTGTTGTTTTGTTTTGTTTTGTTTTGCATCATCGTTGCACAGGGATTACTCCTGGCTCATGCACTCAGGAATTACTCCTGGCGGTGCTCGGGGACCATATGGGATGCTGGGAATCGAACCCAGGTTGGTCGCATGTAAGGCAAATGCCCTACCCACTGTGCTATCACTCTAGCCCTGTCAGCCCCTAAGTTTTATTGGTGGGGGGTGGGGGGGTCCTAAGCATTGCTCAGGGGGTCCAGGGACTCTTCCCGGCAGTTTTCCACCCACTGGCCTCCACAGCTCAGTGCTCAGCCCCAGGCTGCAGTGCTCCTTGAGCAGGCAGAGCTGTGACCATTGAGCTACACCCAGCAGTGCTCAGGGAAGTGATGTGGTAGAGGGGCTCAAACCAGGGTGACACACATGCCCCAAAGCATATGCCCCTGGCTACTGTCCTGTCCCCCAGGCCCCTTGACTAGGCTCTAAGCCATTGCATGTCACTGCATTAGCAGTAGCCAGGCCCGGGTTTGAACCACAGCCGACTCAGCTGCAGTGGCCAGGGGAGGAGACTCCCAGCAGGGTGCAAGGAAGTGAGTGAGCAGATGCTGGGCTCTGGGCACCCTGGGTGGGGGGAGCCAGGACACCCTTCTCACCTCAGCAGGATCACCTGCCCCTCGGCCCCCACAGCCACGTCCACCAGCCCGTCACCTCCAAGGTCCTTCACTCCATGGATAGAGCGTCCAAACCAGCGGATTCCTGGGAACACCTGAGTGCCTTCGATACGCTGAGATGGAAAGAGAGGGTCCTGCTGAGCTGGGGGAGGGGGCCGGCTGGTGGGAAGGTCCCCCAGGGCCGGTGGGGGGGAGCACGCACCTGGCTGGGTCGTGGGTTTAGCCCTCTGGGGTGCCCGTTGAAGATGTACACGGCACCATGCCCCTCCAGGGGGGCTCCCACTGCCACATCTGCCAGCCCATCCCCATTGATGTCGGTCAGGGCAGTGATGGCCGCGCCAAATTGCCCCAGTGGGTAGCCAGGGTCCCCCTGTAGCTCTGAGATCGCCTGGAGGTCCTTCTGGGAAGAAGCAAGTTAACAGAGCCCCACAGTCAGCAGGTGATTTTGACAGAGCTGCCACAGGAACAGTCACACAGAGCCCTCATACCCCCAGAGTTCAAGTCCCAGCGCCGCCTCCTGCTATCTATGTGACCTTGTGGTTCTAGAAAGTTCCCCAGCTGGTAATATAAAGCTGGGAATCTTAGAAGGAGGTGGGGACAGGGAAGTCCCCGCATGCCTAGGACCCGCTTGAGCTTGTGGGTCTGTCTTCCCGCCTCCTGTTCAATGTGCTGGTCCCCACCTTTTCCTTCTGGTACACAAACACCCGGCCTCCTCTCTGGGCCCCGTAAAACAGGGGTGCACCAATCAGCAGCATCTCTGTCACCCCGTCTTGGTCCAGGTCAACGGCACACAGCTCACCACCAAAATAAGAGCCCACCTGTGAGAGAGGGAGACCTGAGGTGCCTGTCGGCAGACCACAGGCCCAAGCTGCCCCCATCTGTCCTGATCCTGCTCAGCCCGGAGGCAAGAAGACAGGCCAGGCTCCTGAGGGTCCGTTTCTGAAAGTGGCAAGTGGTGAGGACAGGACTCACCTCCGAGGGCCCGCTGAGGCCCAGGGTCGTGGCCTGCCCTTGGTCTGCAGGGGTGCCCCCCTGCTCACCTGGTCTCCGTCTATTTTCTGGGTCTGCTCCCAGTTTTTTCCCTCTGTCTTCTGGAACAGCAGCACCTGCCCCACATGCTGATGTCGGGGGGCTCCAGCTGCCAACATCTGGGGGGACTCTTTGAAGAACAGCCAGGTGACTGTGTAACCTGAGGGGAGAGAGCATGAGCGTCTTGGTGAGAAACAGAGGCCGCCAGCCGAGGGCAAGCTGGGAAAGATAGAAAATTCTGGAAGCCCACAGCAGGGACACAGCCCAAAGGAAGACCAGAGCATGCAGCCTTGTGCTTCAGGGACACCCAGCACTGGCCTGTCCCAGACTTGCTCCTCAAATGGTTCTAACCACCAGGAAATCACACCTAGGAAAACCTGGACATCCTCTCGAGGTCAGCTCACTTGAGGACCAGTGGGGAAATGGACAGACTTTTTAAAAATAGTAAAACATGGGGTATGGTGCCGTCAGCAGGTCAATCTGTACCTGTGAGGCGAGTGCATTAGCAGCCTGATGGCACCGTAAGACTTTCAGATACCCCCAAATTGCTGCTGTGCCTTTGGCCAGACCCCAAAAACTTGAGGCAAAGTTTACCAAGAAAGTAAACGGCCAAAAGTTAGGTATGTGGGAGACACACCCACAAACCACCTTGGGTTCACCTATATAATTGGAGGCATGGCCTCTCTGGTTCCTGATCGAACTGCTTAATGGCCATGATCCCAGAGACTCAGAAACAAATCTCGGAACCCAAAGGCTTTTGGCAGAAATGCGTCCTGTTCCTGCAGTAGGTTACTGGCGCTGGGCCACTCCAGGTGGGAATAGGTTTTGCGCCTTGGCCTGTTTCCCCTGGCGGCCCAGTGACCGCCATCCTCCAGAGGCCACTGGACAGTCAGGTTTGGGCCTGCAGTGACAAGCCTCACCAGATGGGGGTGGAACCGGCTCTTTCCTCCCCATCCCAACGAGACCCCAAGTTGCCACCTACAAATGGCCTCTCTGGCTCCTGATCAAGCTGCTTAACAGCCATGATCCCAGAGACTCAGAAACAAATCTCGGAACCCAAAAGCTTTTGGCAGAAATGCATCTGGACCGCATACAAGGTGGCCGCCGCCTCAGAGCTTATAGGAAAGCCAGGTATGAGCCACAGTAAAGGGGCAACTGCAGTCTCATGGGAAGGGGGATGGTACCGGCTCATCCTTCACGCCCTACCGAGGTCACGAGTTGCTCCCCACAAGCGGCTCTCTGGCACAGCCATAACACCAGATGCACAGAAACCAATATTGTAATTATCTGGCTCTTGGCAGAAATCCAAAATGGAGCAGCCACTATCGCGGCCATGCAACATTATATGATGCGCATAACCAGCTGTAGAAAACAAAGTATTTTACAATGCCTTTTCAGCAATTCTGATTGTTGGGGGGAAATTCTAAGCAATAATGGTGCATCTTTTGTCAAAATAATGAATGTAATCAATGTAGAGAAGAGTTAAGTAGAAATCATCTGCCTCACAGGCATTGGGAGGGGTGGGAGGAAGGTATATTGTGGTTCTTGGTGGTGAAAAATGAGTACCAGTGAAGGGAAAGGTGTTTGATCATTGTATGACCAAGACTTAAATGTGAAAGCTTTGTAACTTTTCCCACAGTGATTCAATAAATAAATATTAGAAGAAAATAAATAAATAAACAAAATTATGAAAAAAATAAAAGTAAGGTGGAGTTCATGCCCAATTCAATCAGTTACTCAGTGGCTGAATAAATAGCAATACTCCTACATTTAAAAAAATAGTAAGGGGGTATGGTGCCACCAGCAGGTCAATCTGTACCTGTGAGGCGAGCGAGTGCATCAGCAGTCTCATGGCGCCTTCAGACTTCCAGATACCCCAAAATTGCTGCTGTGCCTTTGGCCAGACCCCAAAAACTTGGGGCAAAGTTTACCAAAAAAGTAAACGGCCAAAAGTTAGGTATGTGGGAAACACACCCACAAACCATCTCCGGCTCAGCTATATAATTGGAGGCAAGGCCTCTTTGGTTCCTGATTGAACTGCTTAATGAACATGATCCCAGAGACTCAGAAATGAATCTCAGAACCCAGTGGCTTTAGGTAGAAATGCGTCTGGTCTCTGCAGTAGGCTACTGGTGCTGGGCCAACCCAGGTGGGAATTAACTCCACTTTAGGTTCTATTTTTTTTAATTTATTTTGGTTTGAGGACCACACCTGGCTATGCTCAGGGACCCCTCCTGGTGATGCTCTGGGGACCATACACAGTGTCTTGGCCTATTCCCCCTGGCGGCCCAGTGGCCGCCATCCGTCTGAGGTCACTGGAGAGTCACATTTGGGCCCCCAGTGACGAGACACACAGGGCCTCACGGGATGAGGGTGGAGCCGGGCTTGTCCTCCCCACCCCAACGAGACCCCAAGTCATCGCCCACGAATGGCCTCTCTGGCTCCTGATCAAGCTGCTTAATGGCCATGATCCCAGAGACTCAGAAACAAATCTCAAAACCCAGTGGCATTTGGCAGAAATGCATCCGGACTCCACAGTACGTTACTGTCGCCGGGCCACCCCAGGGAGGAAAGGGTGTTGTCCCTCCGCCTGCTCCCTCTTGGCGACTTGGTGGCTGTCATCCTCCAGAGGCCATTGGACAGGCTTGGGCCCACAGTGACGAAAGTTGTTGGGTCTCACGGGATGGGGGGGGAGGTGGAGCCGGGCCTGTCCTCCCCACCCTAACGAGACCCCAAGTCATCGCCCACAAACGGCCTCTCTGGCTCCTCATCAAGCTGCTCAATGGCCTTGATCCCAGAGACTCAGAAACAAATCTCGAAAACCAGCGGCTTTTGTCAGAAATGTGTCCGGACCCCGCAGTAGGTTATGTCACCGAGCCACCCCAGGGGGGAATGGGTGCTGTCCCTCCGCCTGCTCCCTCTTGGCGACTTGGTGGCTGTCATCCTCCAGAGGCCATTGGACAGTCGGGCTTGGGCCCGCAGTGACGAAACTTGTTGGGTCTCACGGGATGGGGGCGAGGTGGAGCCGGGCCTGTCTTCCCCACCCCAATGAGACCCCAAGTCATCGCCCACGAACAGCCTCTTTGGCTCCTGATCAAGCTGCTCAACGGCCATGATCCCAGAGACTCAGGAGCAGATCTCTAAACCAGTGGCTTTTGGCAGAAATCCCTCCAGATTTAAGTGTTAAAATTTCAGAATTTCAAAACCACATGGCCCTACTGCAGCCACACGACATCATATGTTATTCATAACCAGCAATAGAACACAAATTGTCTATTGTTGCCTTTTCAGCAGATCTGAGTGTTGGGGTAAAATCTTAAATAATGGTGGGTCTGGTGTCGAAATAGTGAATGTGATCAAAGTAGAGAGAGAGTAATGTAGAAATCATCTGCTCCACAGGCAGGGGGAGGCTGTGGGATGGGGGTATTCTGGGATTTTTGGTGGTGGAGAATGGACACTGGTGAAGGTACAGATGTTTCATTGTATGACTGAGACTTAGACCCAAAATCTTTGTAACTGCTCTCACAGTGATTCAATAAATAAAATTATAAAAAATGGAAAAAGAAAAAAAAAAGGTGGAGTTCATGCACAATTCAATCAGCTAATCAGTGGCTGAATAAATAGCAGTACTCCTACAAAAAAAGAAAAACAATAGTAAAACAGGGGGCCAGAGAGATGATACAGCTGGTGGGGTGGGTCTGCATGCGACTGCCCCAGGTTCCTGGCACTGTGTATGGTCCCCAGAGCATCACCAGGAGGGGTCCCTGAGCATAGCCAGGTGTGGTCCCCAAACCAAAATAAATAAATAAAATAGAACCTAAAGTGGAGTTAAACCTAAAGCAGAAGACTAGACAGAGAATCAAGCTGGAAGGTCGCGCTGGGAGCATCTCCTTGCTCACAGGCCGATGGCCCAGTTCTCTGTCCCACTCCGAGTGGGTCAGCAGGGAGGGTCTCGTGTGCGTGACCTCTAACCCACCTGATTTTCCCTGTCTTCATAGAAAGCTAGAAGTGTGAGAGAAACAGACAGCAGATCCCCTAGACTACACAACAGCAGGGGAAGGGTGAAAACCATTTTCTACCTATCTCCCAATCCTCCTGACGCACGAGGGTTTGGAATTGGAGTCACAAGCCTGAATCTGGGGCTACTAATCCCTAGTGTCTGAGCCTCAATTTCAACAAAAAATAAATGGATTAGCACAATCTCATAGAGTGACTTTGTGAGATAAATAGGACCATGGATGTCAGCTATGTAACATTACGCCAGTGAGGCCTGAGCTAGCTGTGAAGGATGGTGGCTCTGAGGGCACCCACATTTGTATTCATGGCTACCCATGCGTGTGTGCCGCTGGGTACCGTGCCGGGGGTGCCCGGGGAGAAGTTAAGCATGGGGGTGATTTCTCCCTTCTCTGTGAGCAGTGCTGTGCACTCACAACTCAGTATTGAGCAGGAGAAGAGGACATGATCTTCAAGTACCCTGCCCAGGACCCTCAACAAGTCATTCACACTCGTCTTGGCTCAGTTTTCTACATCTGTGAAGTTGAGATGATAAAAGGCACCTACGTACCATGTTGTTGGTGACAAAAGGAGACAAATTATATTCATACAGGTCATCTATTTTGAATGGTGCTGAGCACATAATACTTGCTCAGTAAAGAACATAGAAGGAAAGAAAAGAGAAGGAAGGGGAAGAAAAGGAGAGAGAAAAGAACCCATCAGGTGTAGCTTGCCTTAAAAGGGTGGATGCCAGAGGCTGGAGCAATAGCACAGTGGGTAGGGCATTTGCCTTGCACGCGGCCGACCCGGGTTCGATTCCCAGCATCCCATGTGGTCCCCCAGCACCACCAGGAGTGATTTCTGAGTGCAAAGCCAGGAGTAACCCCTGAGCATCGCTGGGTGTGACCCCCCCCAAAAAAAGAAGGGTGGATGCCTGAGGAAGAGAAGCATTCTCACATACAATTTAATACGAACTCTAGGTTCTGCAAACGGAAGGAAGGAGTAGGCGGCGCACGTGGTGTTTCTGAGGAGACAGGACAGATGCGCTAGCGCTGGGCCTATGAAAAGGAAGAGCCTGATCGCAGCCCTGTCCCGGGGCTGGTGGGGCCAATTTGCCTCCATGTTCTGAGCAGAAGAGAAGCCACCTCTGAGGAGCAGGGTGAGGCTCCCCTGGCTCGTCACTGGCATGGCCTTTGGTGGATGTGTGGCCACAGAGCCATGCATAATGAGAGTGAGGCGAGAGAAGCAGCCGAAACTGTTTAACCAGACTCCCTCCTGCCGTATCTGGCGTCTTAGACAAACGAGCCTTGGAGTCCCAGCTAATCAAGCCGACAAAGCAGATTCTTTCAAAATCACTGGGGTTCCACTGAGAGTCACTGTCACCCAGAGAGTGACCACTCTGTTTCCCCAGCTGGAGGCCCAATTGCCACCCCAGGCCACAGGGGGAAGCCCCAGGGTCAGGGAGGAGGTGAGAAGCGCATGGGTAGTTTTAATGGAGTTTATTGTGGTTTCCACGGAAGAATGGGTGAGGCAAGTTCATGTCAGCAGAGGATTGGACAGTTGGGGGGCTGAAGCAATAGCACAGCGGGTAGGGCGTTTGCCTTTCACGTGGCCAACCCGGGTTCGATTCCCAGCCTTCCATATAGTCCCCTGAGCACCACCAGGAGTAAGTCCTGAGTGCATGAGCCAGGAGTAAGCCCTGTGCATCTCCAGGTGTGACCCAAAAAGGAAAATTGAAAGAAAAAAGGATTGGATAGTTGGAATAACGCTAGGCAGCTCTGGCTCGAGGGTGGTCTTTGGGTGTCCTCCTGGCCCTGCTAGAGGAGGTCAGGGGAAGTGTTGGCCTAAGTGTAAACGTTCGATAAGGGAGGGGGTAGGAACATGGCCAGGGCTGTTCACCGACCACTATCTGCAGGAACTGCTGGGCTAGGGGTGGACGTTTCTCCCTGGCATCAGTAAGGCCTCAAGATGACAAAGCACCAGAAGTTACAGAAAGTAACATCTTGACTAGTACACAGGGGAGGGGCTACTAGGGAAAAATTAAGAATGTTAGAACCAATTTAAACTCCATATGCTCCTGCTGGTTGCCTAGTTTTTATGTATAAAATTAATATTTAATTATATATTAATTATAATTAGCCAATGTCATTGCCTAATTGCTTTCCTATATGTAAAGGTAACATATGTATATACACATGTATACATATGCATATATGTGTGTGCATTTTGAAATACCCAGAGCCTCACATACAAAAGGCTTATGCTCTACCACTGAACCACACCCACAGCCTGCTTTCATTTCTACTATTATCACTATTATTTTATTATTAATTTGGTTTGGGGGTCACACCCAGCAATGCTCAGGGGTTACTCCTTGCTCTTCATTCAGAAATGACTCTTGGTGGTGTTCAGGGGACTATACGGGATGCCAGGATAGGACCTGGGTCAGCTGCATGCAAGGCCAGCGCCCTACCCACTTTACTGTTACTCCAGCTCCTGCTTTCATTATTATTTTGAGAGATGGTGGGGTTACTTCTTTCATATTTTGTTTTGTTTGGGGGCCATGATGAAGGGCTACTCCTGACTTCTGTTTAAAGATCACTCCCTGTGGTGTTCAAGGGCCTGCGGTGTTGGGGTTCTGGGGCCCCCACATAAAAGTGTGCCCTCCAAATCTTTGCACCATCTCCCGGGCTCACTAGTATTCTGGAAGTCAGTCTTCATGACTCTGGGGCCCCGGAGGAACGCACAGGAAAGAGAAGCACTCACCCAAGTACCCTTCTTTCACTTCTGGTGTCAGCGGCTCATTGCCCACAAACGTGCTGTCCTGCAGGTCGGCGCTCATCTCTAGAAAACCCCCAGCCCAGTCCTTGGCTCCAACTGCCCCCACAACACCATGGTCCTGCCCAGGGAAGGAGAAGGAGAACGGGGGTCAGCTGCTGTCCCCTCACTCCCCAGCCTGCCGCTCTAGCCCCTCACTCACTCTGCTGAGGTCTGCGCTGATCCCGCTGGATGCCAGCTCCATGTTGAAGGATGTCAGGTCCTGTTTTGTGCCTGAACAACAAAGTCAAGAATGGGCTGAGAGGGGCTGGAGCGAAAGCACAGTGGGTAGGGTGTTTGCTTGCATACAACCAACCCGGGTTCGATTCCCAGCATCCCATATGGTCCCCTGAGCACTGCCAGGAGTAATTCCAGAGTGCAAAGCCAGGAGTAGCCCCTGTGCATTGCCGGGTGTGACCCAAAAAGAAAAAAAAAGAATGGGCCGAGAGCCATTGAGGAGAAGTCCAAACAGATGTTCATGAAGGAACTGAGAAGGAAGCCCAGCATCTGACTCCGGGCAAGGCAAACAGCCTGCGAACTTCTGAGTCATACAGATTAGAAGGTGATTGGAGTGCAGACATTCAGGTCAAATTCTGGAGGCCCAGTCCCCCAACAGGTCAGAGACACAGCTCCGACCCTGTCCCCCAACAGGCTGCCCCGCTTCAGCGAACAGAACTTCTACCCAACATGTCAGTCAGGTCAAATGCCCAGGACTCAAGTCTAATTCTTCCCATCCCTCTCCTTTCCTACACATCACCAAAACCCGATGATTCCTGCTGCAAAACACAGTGTCCTCCCTTCGAACATGCCCTTACTGCCACCCACCTCACCTCCTGCATGACAGACTTGGGTGCTTACTGACTTGGTCCCTTGGATTTCATTCTTTCTACTTGCCATTTTCCAGAATGAATCAGAGTAATAACACACACACACACACACACACACACACGCACACGCACACCCAGCACACACGCACGCAACTTCCCTCTCTTAAAACCCTCCATTAGTTCCTCTTGTTCTTTTTTATTATTTATTTATTTAATTATTTTGCTTTTTGGGTCACACCTGGTGATGCACAGGGGTTACTCCTGGCTCATGCACTCAGGAATTACTCCTGGCAGTGCTTGGGGGACCATATGGGATGCTGGGAATCAAACCTGGATGGGTCGCATGTAAGGCAAACACCCAACCCACTGTACTATCGATCCAGGCCCTATTGTTCTTTTTAAATTTTTTTTTAAATTTTTTTTTTTTGCTTTTTGGATCACACCCGGCGATGCATAGGGGTTACTCCTGGCTCTGCACTCAGGAGTTACCCCTGGCGGTGTTCAGGGGACCATATGGGATGCTATGGGATGCTGGGAATTGAACCCAGGTCAGCCGCGTGCAAAGCAAATGCCCTACCCGCTGTGCTATCTTTCTAGCCCCTCTTTTTTAAATTTTAGATGTTGTGATTCACAATGCTATTAATTATAGGGCTCCATGACTCTCAACTCCATACCCTCCACCAGGGTGTCCACCGCCCTCCATCATTGTCTCGGTGTCCCTTCTCCAGTCCTTCAATGCCCAGTTTCTTTTTTGTTCATTTGCTTTGGGGGCTACACCCAGTGCTGCTCAGGGCTTACTCCCGGCTCTGCACTCAGGAGTCAATTTGGTTGGCCACATTAAGGCAAACACTTGACCACTGTGCTGCCTCCGCTCCCCACGCCCCCCCCAATTCTGTTCTTCTTTAGAATAGAATTCAAACTCCTCAGGGGGCCTGGAAGACCCCCATCTTCCTCTCCAAATTTCTCTGTCCCTTGTCACCATGCTCCTAGCCCAGATTTCTCTTTCTAGAATTCTTCTAGCTTGCTAAGCCCTGCCCCAGCTCTGGGCCTTTGCACTGCTCTGCTCTTGAACTGGAATGTTCTTTGACCACATTTCTTTCCCTGACCATGTGACTCTCATCTTTCACGTCTCAGCTCAAAAAAAAAAATCGAATTTACATCCATTAGGAAAAAGACATCTCAGAAAGGCTTTCCTAAAAGCTACAGCAAGGAAATCAGTCTCATTGCCTAATGCATGCCCTGTCCTGCCCTTAACGCAATTTTCTGTCTCTGTCCCACTGCAATCTCAACTCAGCTTTGGCAGTATCCTGGGCTGTCTTATTCACAGAACCTGGCATCGGGTTGTTGTTAGCATGGACTAATACAGTGAGAACAATACCATCATCCCCGGAAGAATGCTGAAAGGTATGAACCAAAGGGGATAGTAAAGGGCGGCGACATGGAAACTTACAAGAACGGTAGCCTTGATTGTTTTGGAGCCTTTTTAGTTTGGGGTAGCCATTATTATAAAGCTAGCCAATAATTAAGGTAGCCATTGCTATGCAGATTTGTTTATTTACTGACTAAATGTGAGAGTTGGTGCCAGTGACAGTCGGGCGTGTCCACATTTGCCATGACCAACCTTCCAGTTCAGTGTGGGAGACAGGCGCTAAGCAGACTATCGGGACCCAAGCCACATCACATGGACTGTGCAAGGGGACACAGCCTTCACAGCCGCTTGTGTGAAGGAGCACCTCTCCCAGCCTGGGGATGGGTGGGGGCGGCGTCTAAACTCCCGGTGAGGATGGGTGGGCCAGGAGAGAGGAGCAGGGGGAGCTAATGAGAACTCTGGTTTCTAGAGCACGTACAATGTACTGAGCACTTGGCTAGGCTGTTGTTTAAGGTCTGGGTTGGGTTCCTTAAGAGGGACATTCATATCTTAGAACTAAACTTTATTTTAGATATAGCATCTTTACAGAGGAGAGCAAGTTAAAATTAGCTCGTCAGGGTGCACTTTAATCCAACATGACCAGGGGCAGGAGCGATAGTTCAGTGGATAGGGCACTTGCCTGGCCAACCTGGGTTCAATCCCCAGCACTCCATATGATTCCCTGAGCACCATCAGGAGTGATTCCTGAGTGCAAAGCCTTGAATAATCTCTGAGCATTGCCAGGTGTGGACCCATCCCGCCCCCCCCTCCGCAAAACACACACACACACACACACACACACACACACACACACACACACACACAGAATCCAATATGACTAGAACCCTTAAAAAGGGGAAATTTGGAACCAGAGACATAGTCTAAGCAACGGTGGAGAGAAAATCTACAGGGAGAAGGAGGCCTGGGGCTGGGTCGAGGGACCTGCCTTCAAGGTGCCAGTGAACACGAAAAGTTGAAGTGCCAGAAAAGGTGCCCCCAGGACACCTAAAAGGGCAGGATGATGCCTTGGTTCTCACCTCTAATCTCCAGGACTATGGGACAATTAATATCCATTTAAAGTACCCCAACTGTTGGCACTTTGTTCTAGCAGCGCTGAAACAAAGGGGCTAACCCTTCAAGCCCCAGAGCATCTTATTTTTTTTTTTATAGTTTATTTCTTTATTGAATCACTGTGGGAAAAGTTACAGAGCTTTCGGGTTTAGGTCTCAGTCATGTAAGTATCAAACACTTTTCCCTTTACCAATACTTATTTTTAACCCCGAACCCCAATAGACCCCCACCTCCCCCCACCCCTCCCAATTCCTGTGAGGCAGATGAGTTCTAGTTAATACTCTATGTACTTTGACTAGATACATTGTTTCGATAGAAGATGCACAATTATTGTTTAGAGTTTACGACACCCCCCCCCCCAATCAGATATGCTGAAACAGTGTTGTGAAATGATTTGCTTTCTACAGCTTGGTTTAAGAATAAAATGATGTCGCGCGGCGCACGGCCACGACTCCAGAGCACAGAAACCAATCTCTTAACTATCTAACTTTTAATAGAAATACTTTCAGGGTTAATAAGTGAAACAGCAGAAATCCAGAGCATCTTATTTTTAATTCCCATTTGGAAATAGAGAGACTCAGAGAGGGAGAAGGACTTGGCTGAGGTCACACAGGCAGGGTGAACCTGGAGCGGCCCGTCCTGGTTCCATTACACACCGCCTGCTTCTTCAAGGCTCCCTCAGCTTTCCTATACCGGCTCTGAAAGTGAATTTTACCTAGCAAAAGAATTTGCTTTTGCCAACAGTACTTCTAGCAGGAAGCATGCACTCTCAGCACACAAGGGTCCCTCCTAGCCAGCCTCCATCTGGTACCTACAATCCAAACCTGCCTTGAGCTCTTGACCTCTGTCCACTTGCCCTTCTGCAGTAGTTTGAGACCAAGGATAAGTGACAATGAGGAATTTGAGAGAGGGAACAAGAGGGACTCATGTCATCAGCAAGGTCCAGTTGATGCCAGCAAGGCAAAGGTCAGCTCTGGTACTTTGCTGAACCCAGAATTTCAGATGAAAGTACAGCAGGTGAGGCATTTGCCTTGCATGAGGGCAGTCCCTGGCACCCCAAACGGACCCCTGAGTCCCGCCAGCAGTGATCCCTGAGTGCACAGTCAGGAGTAAGCCCTGAGAACTGCGAGGTGTGGCCCAAAAACCAGAAAAGAAAAACAAATGTAGATGAAATGAAAGCTGTTTCTCACCCAGCCACTCCTCAGAAGTGCTCTCAGCCCAGTGGCAGCTCGCTAGCAAGCGCTGGAGTTTTATAGTGTCAGCTAATGGCTTCCATGGGCCCTGAGGCCACAACTCACCCTCAATGGTGTAGATCTTCTTTTGCAACTCAGTGAACACATCTTTAAGCTTCTCGAAAGTGTCCAGAATCTTTACAAAGTCCTCTGTGGGTTTTGAGGCAAATATGTTGAGCGTTTCCTGCTTCGTCTTAAAATGACTTCCAATCTGTGAGGGAAGAAGGTCTCATCCAGGAACGGCAGACCAAAGTCCTGCTGTCTTCACAGGACCCTGACCCCAGGACTAGGAGAGGGAAAAGCAGACGGAGGGAGGGTGCGGAGGGGAGCCCATACACACCCCAATGATGTAGCGGATAATGTCTTTGGCCTGGTCAATGTTGCCAACATCAGAGGCTTCTCCATCTGTGATGATGATGAGCACTTTGGTGGCATCTGGCCGGGCCCCCCTGTCCTGCCGAAACACCTCTGTCCTGTGTCCAAGGAAAGGAGGAGATGGGGGAGACGCCCCCTCAAATTAATTGAGATCTCGCACCCTCATGAAGCCTCAGTCCTGTTAACTCAGCAAAAGGCCCTCTCATTTCCTGGGCTGGGATTCTGAGTCCTCAACTGCACCTTGAGGCACCCACCTCTCCTCAGCAGAGTTCAAGTAGCCCAGAGAATATCCCAGAGTCTGTGAGCAGCAAGGAGATCTTGTGAGCTCAGACTCTCTCCTGTCATTGAACTACTTGGCAATGAACTTTAACTCAGATATGCCGAAGACCCAGGCAAGCTTCAATGAGGAAATGGGCTCTGAGGTTGAAGAGAATCAGCTCTTGAGAACCAATTCTTTCAGAACAAGCTCCCAGAGCAGCTCCTCTGCTCCCTTTCCCAGCTCAGGGCAGCCTAAAAGACCTACGTCCAAGAACCCTAGGGAACTGTTTCCGGATCAGCTTTCCCCAAACTCAGGTTCTTCAAGGAAAGGACCATCTGGACTTGTGGCTATAGTGTCTGGCCCAAGACACTGATAATGAGCTCAGTGCTTGCAAAAGAGCAGAAGAAAGGACCAAGCACCAGGCAGTCCACAGCTTCAAGTCCTGTGCTGGCTGCAGCCTCCTCTACAGCAGGACAGCAGCCTGGTCGGACCCTGCCCTGCAAGCATCTGATCTTTATTCAGTAATTGGCACTGCATGCAGACTCCAAGCTCTAAGCACTGCTGAGTTTGGCTTTCCTCCCCCAGATGATAAGCGTTTTTGCCCCCCACAAAATGGATAAGTTGGTTTTGTTAGGGGGAGGGTATCAAATATTGCATCTAGGGTCTTAAACATGCAAACTGTGGGGGCTGGAGCGATAGCACAGAGGTAGGGCATTTGTCTTGCATGCGGCCAACCCAGGTTTAATTCCCAGCACCCCATATGGTCCCCCAGCACCGCCAGGAGTAGTTCCTGAGTGCAGAGCCAGGAGTAACCCCTGTGCATTGCCAGGTGTGATGCCCCTCCAAAAAAACATGCAAAATGTGTACTCAGTCACTGAACTTAGTCTTTGACCCCAAAAGGTGAACTTGGGAAGTCTCCCCAGCAGGAGTTTTGGGGGTCCCGGGAGTCACTCCCAGTGGTACTATCCAGCCAGACCTGACAGTTCAAACTAAGACCCTATGCTGTGGTGCTCATTGACCAGACTTCTTGACTCACTAGGGTTCCCCCAGCAATGCTGTGGGGGGCCTGTGGTTCTAAGGATCGAATTTGAATCCTCGCTCACATGCATGGTTCCTGCCCCTGACTCCTGAGATCTCTTTAGCCCACGATAAGCATATTTTATATGCAATATGGCCTTCAATACAACTCAGGGCATTTCTGTAGCAGATTCAGAAAATTTGCACTAGTTTTCAGTATAGAATCTAATACTGAATTTTATTAACAGTTCAAGGATTTCTTCAAGGATAATTTTGGCTCTTTGAAATTTTTGTTCCTACAATGACTTCAAAAAGTGATTCCTGCCAAAGATGTTCCAGGTCTTGATTTGAGTCCCTCAGGAGGTTTGCAAATTATTCTCATTCCAAGACTCGATGAATAAGCTTGCAACACCCCAAGAATTTTCCTTTTGGATTTAGTTAGCGTAAAGTAACATAAGTCTGTTACTTACAACCAAAAGATCCTGGATTGAAATTATTCCACTATTGGTGGGGGCGGGGGGTGGTGTTGTGAGTGTCTCCTAGCTTGGTGCTAAGGGTACCATTTAGTGCCAGGATCAAATTTGCAGCTTCAACCCTTTGAGCCATCTCCCTGGCCCTTTACCTGAATTCTGTGTTAGTGGTGGTGGTAGTGGGGTAGCTCCAAAGCTGTGCTCAGGTTTGGGCAGCCTTTCCACTAACTCTGAGCCAACGGATCAGGAGTTTCATGCAAGAATCCGAGAAAGCAGGTCCCCTGTAGAGTCAGGGATTACCTGAGATTCCCCGAAAGTTCTGTGTGTGTGTGTGTGTGTGTGTGTGTGTGTGTGTTGGGGAAGGGTTCCTCCAGGGAAGCACCTGGAAATGCTTGGGGCCTCTAGGGTTGTACCTAAAAGTTGTGCTCAATAGACTGTAAATGTCAGGGATCGAACTGGGGTCAACCCCATGAAAAGTATGTTCCTTAATCCCTAGTGTCTCTCTCTCTCTCTCTCTCTCTCTCTCTCTCTCTCTCTCTCTTTTGTCCCCTATTTAAATGCCTTTATTTATTTATTTAGTTAGTTAGTTAATTGTTTTGGGGGTCACACTCATCAGTGCTCAGGGATTACTTCTGACTCTGTGCACAGGGATTATTTCTGGTGATGTTTGGGGGACCATATGGGGAGTTGGAGATTGAATCTGGGTCAGCTATGTGCACGGCAAGAGCCTGACGTGCCACACTCTCTCCAGGCCCCTGCTGAATCTTAAAATAACTTTGCGCTTCCTGAGCACATACAGAAGCACCTGACAGGTTCTCTCCCAGGAAAGGGAACTCACACGACATAGTTGATGGCATAGAAAGTATTAGTCAACTTCTTCATGTGTTCGACTTTGGCCAGCAGAACATCAGGGTCCTTCTTATCAGCATAGTCCAAGAAATTAAACTCTGTTTTGCAATTCGTGGAAAACTGCACAGCCGCAAACTAGAAAGAAAAGGAAAAATAAAATCCTGGGGCCTGAAGCAATAGTCCAGTGGATAGAGCACTTGCCCTGTTCACCAGCTGACCCGGCTTCAGTACCTGGCAGACTCCTGAGTATAGAGCCAGGAGTACACCCTGAGCACTGCTGAGTATGGCCCCAAACAAACAGAAAGAAAATCCTGTTACATGATCTCACCACTGGTCTGCTCCAATTGCTACTAATCTTATCCAGCACATGAACAACCTGACATTCTTGCCTCTTCCTTCTTCTGAAAATGGGGCAGCAGATCAAGAAACACAGAACAAACTTGTATTTTCACGCTCATGCTGTCACTCTCACGTTCTCTGGCTTGTCTACCTCACCTGTGGTCAGAGTTTTGCTGATGGAATCTGTTAATCTGTTAACACAGACACCATTTGTGGGCTGAGGATGGCCACTAAATCGAGGCTAAGACAGTCAGGACCATCAACAGTGCAAGGTCCACATCAGCTTAAGAATTCCAGCCCAGGACAGTTTGGAGAAACTGTATATAATCTCCTTCTAAAAGTCATTTAAGGTTTGCTTGCTTTTTCAAACTCATATTCTCTTTTGAACATCTCTTTCTCGCGCACGCGCGCTCACTCTCTCTCTCCTCACATATCTCTAAATTTCTCTCAAAAAGTATTGGGGGAGATGTGTGCTGAAAGTAGATAAAGGACCAAACATGATACAGATACTCTCAATATCTGTACTGTAAACCATATTGCCCAAAGAGAATAAGAAGGAAACTGCCTGCTCCAGAGGTGGGGGTGGGAGAAGGATACTGGGGACACTGGTGATGGGAAAACTATATTGGTGGAGGGATGGGTGTTCCATCGTGTTCCATATTGTATGACTGAAACCCAATCATGAAAGCCTTGTAATTTTATCTCACAGTGATTCAACTTAAAAATTGTTTTTAACACCTGGGGGCAGGGCAGAAGATGTAGTACAGCAGCTAAGATACTTGGTTCTGAGTTCAATCTCTGGCGTCCCATGTGGTCCCTCAAAACCACCAGGAGTGATTCCCTGAGTACAGAGCCCTGAGCACTGTCAGTTGTGGTACCCAAACAAAAACAAACAAGCAAACAAAAGACACTACCTTGCTTCACACAAAAAAATGCAGATTTTTTTTTTTGCCTAAGAATTTGTAGTTTGCAATGACAGCAGCAAACCCCTCTGAAACTTTAACATGTGATCTTAAGAGCCTATTGTGGGCCGCAAAGAGCTGAGGGAGCCACTAAGGGAAAGAGAAGAGAAAAGCAAAAGCCCCTGAAGAAACACAGAGAACTCAGAGAGAGTCCTCGCTGCCTCCTCTGTCCTGGCCTGGTCCTTCCCGTGATATGTTGATGGCCTTGTCATGGCTCTGACATGTCACCTCCAGTATACTAACCTTTCCTTGGATGCCGGATGCTAGTTCAGGGACAACTATTGCCTGTAATCAGACACCCTAACACTTCACCTGGTAGGAAGAGTTGCTGAGTTTCTTCATCACATCCTTCATGAAGTCCAGAATTTTCTGAAAGTCTTCAGATTTCATGCTCCCAGAGCCATCAAACAGGAACACCAGGTCAACCGTGCCCTTGATGCATTCTGCGAGGCCCGGAACAAAGGCAGTTGGTGAAGTGCCCCTCAGGGTGGCCTGCCCGGCAGTGCTCACTGGCTCCCAGCTCCTTACCCTGATATCCAGGACGCCCTTGTTGCACAGGATGTCCCAGACTCGGGTCAAAGAGGTAACACTGGCCACTTAAATAAATATTCTGGTCACATATCCGAGACAGCCCAGGGTCACAGGCCTGAGGGAAACAAAGATGGCAGGTGGGGCCTCCTTTGCTGTGGGGAATCTGTCGTCCAGAGTACCTTCTAGAGTTGTTGTCCCAACCTTTGCCCAGGCAGGTTTCCTAGCAAGGTATCCCACCCTCAGACACCCAGTCTTGTACGTGGTTCTGTCCACCCCATGAGCAATGCTGTAGGTCCTGGATATTCACTGTCTAGGGGAAGCTTCAAATGGCCATAGCTGGACATTCGTGTTGGTTACAGCTGGACTCTCTCTCACGCTTCCAGGGCCACTCTTCTCCCTTCCCAGTCAGGTATTCTGTGCTAAAGCCAGATCACATGACTCACCACTCCTGACACACACATATGTTCCTTCAATTATGAAGATCTTTCCTGTCAGATCACAATTTCTTAAAAGTCGGCTCAAATCACAGCCACGTCCGTGTCTCCCCTTCCTCTAACAGGACCTAGCACAATGCCTGGATATGAGACTAAGGAGTCCAGAGCCAGAGAACAGTGGGTAAGGTGCTTGCCTTGCCAGAGTCCCGAAACGACAACAACAAACAAGAGTAACTAAGGAAACAAGTGCCAAAAACTACTGGTCAATATTTCACTTCTCCACTCATAAATCAATGAAAGAGCCCAGAGGGTCAAGAAATAAATGGACACATACATGATCAATTAATGAGTGATAATCAAGGAGTCAAGAATATATAGTGAAGAAAGGACAGACTCTTATGTCAATGGTGCTGAGAAAAATGAACAGTCACAGGCTGTCTGAATGTGAATGAAATTGGATCATATGCAAACCCTAACGCGTAATGATCAAGTACTCAGGCATAAGAAACACAAAGGATGGGGTTGAAGTGAAAGCACAGCGGGTAGGGCATTTGCCTTTCACGCGGCCGACCTGGGTTCTATTCCCAGCGTCCCATATGGTTCCCCGAGCACCGCCAGGAGTAATTCCTGAGTGCAAAGCCAGGAGTAACCCCTGTGCATAGCGGGGTGTGACCCAAAAAGAAAAAAAAAAAAGAAAAGGGATGTGTCCCAGTGGGCCAGTGGGAGAGCACATACCTTGGATGTGGGAGGCCCTGAACTTGATCCCTGACACCACAAAATATATAAAACTCTAAAAGAATTCCTTTATTCAACTCCTCAAAATAGGCCTCAAGTAATTATTTTGGGGATTCGACCACAAAAGCAAAGGTAACAGAAGTGAAAATAAATGAGACTACATTAAACAAATAAGCTACATGCCACTAATATCTCAATTTTTTTTTCTGGCACTGGGGATTGAACCCAGGACCTCATACGTGCAAGGCATGCACACTGGCACTAAGCCACATACCTGGCAATTAGAACTGAAGGCAATTAAAATTAAATTTTCAGTGAAGGCAATTTTTTTTTCATTGGAAGGCTGGAGAGATAGTACAGGAGTTAAGACACTTGCCTGGCACTGGTCAACCGATTTGAATCCTGACACCACATATGGTTCTCAGAGCACCCACCACCAGGAGTGATCCCTGAGTGCAGAGCCAGGAGTAAGCCCTGATATTGCCAGGTTTAGCACCCAAGCCCAAAGCAAGCAAACAAACAAAAATCCGAGGCCAGGGAGATAGTTGAAAGGGCTGGGTACACACTTTGCATGTAGGAGCCTCAGGTCCGTCCTCAGTACTGCCTGGCATCTCAAACACCAAGCCAGGAGTAGCCCCTGAACACTGCCAGGGGCTGGTTTGGTCCCAAACCAAAACCAATCAGTGGGGGGAGGTGAGGGAGGAGGGGGCTCAGAGCGGAGCATGTGTCTCACATGTTGGAGGCCCTGGGTTTGGTTTCCAGCACTTACTGCAAAAAATGTTTTTAAGTAGGAGATCCCCAGAAGTGTTTTGGGGGGCTCAGGGGTTGCTTGGCCTGTTGGTGTAAGCCTGACAATTGGATAGTTGGATCTGGTGATGTGATACTGGCGGATAAGGGCTACACCCAGTGCTGGTGCTGGTGAGGAGCTGGTGGGGGCATGTGGTGCCAGCGATTGGCAGGGCCTCGTACACTGTAGGCATTGGAGCTAACTGATTTAAGGCACTACAGCCATCTGAGTATCCTCCCAATCACTAAATATTTTGGGAGGATACCTAAACCTGTGCTTAGGGTATACTCTTGGCTCTGCACTCAAAAGTCACTCCTGGCAGTGCTCAGGGGACCGTACAGAGTGCTGGAGATCAAACCTGGGTTGGCCCATGTGCAAGGCAAATGCCCTACCCACTGTACTATCACTCTGGCCCCATGCTAAAAGTTTAGTCTTCTCCTAAGCAATGTGGTCCAAGGAATTATAAATTTGATGTGCTTGTTTTAAATATTTCCTAATAGACCATTAAATAAATACTTAATGATTGAAAGGTAAAAGGTGCATGAGGCTGGAGAGATAGCACAGCGGGTAGGGCGTTTGCCTTGCACGCGGCCACCCCGGGTTCGATTCCCAGCATCCCATATGGTCCCTTGAGCACCGCCAGGAGTAACTCCTGAGTGCAGAGTCAGGAGTCACCCCTGTGCATTGCCAGGTGTGACCCAAAAAGCAAAAAAAAAAAAAAAAAAAAAAAAGAAAAGTAAAAGGTGCAAAGGCTAGAGTGATAATACAGCCGGTAGGGCATTTGCCTTACACGGGGCTGGCCCGAGTTTAATCCCTGGCATCCCATATGGTCCCCCAAGCACAGCCAGGAGTAATTCCTGAGTGCAGAGCCAGGAATAAGCCCTGAGCATCGCTGGCTATGGCCCCAAAACAAAAACAAAAGTAAAAGGTACGTGTGTAACACCAAAACTCATGTGCCAGGGATGTGACTGAAGGAGAAGCAGATATGTGAGTTGGGGTGTGACAGCCCCAGAACCACAGACTCAGGCCCAGCATTGTCAGGAGGGGTCCCTCTGCCTCAAACCAAGTCATAGCTATTTCTTAGAAACACACACCCAATTTTCTTGACCCCTAGCCTTCAATGGGACCTTTGACCCATGACTCCTTCCTCATCTTCAGTTTCTTCTAGCATCGGTCTTCCCAGATCTGCTCTCACACTCCCCAGAATTCTTACCAAAAGGTTTCCAGTTGTGGAGTCTGTCGCCAAGGTCATCCCCAAATACTTGGAAGTGTCGTTGGAACCTGTAGGCAACAGAAGATGGGTCTGGAGGGACGGAGGCATTTCAGGTATGGGGCGCCAGACTCAGTGTCTTTGAGACATCCCTCCCGGCGGCCACCAGAGCTCACCACTCGGGCTGACTGGCAGGCACTGTCCCGTCTCTGGCTGGCACTGGTAGATGTGTCCCGTGCTGTTCCCCTCACCTGGAGCGCCAACGACAACCCTGGGGAGAAGCCTCGCATTGCATTAGATGGAGCTCTTTAAATGCCCCCTGCTACCCAGGGGCTCAGATCTCCCACCAGGTACCTCAAAGCAAACCTGCGGCTCCCCGGGAAGGCTCTCAGACAACCCACCATCTAGTGCCCTGTGAATCCTGGCTAAATCATCTGATGCAGTCAGAATTCTAGAAGGTGAAAGTGCTTTTCCATCCACTAGAAAAACTGTAGCCCACAGTTATGTGTTCATTTGGGGTCATCAAGTCAGGTGTTGTTACTGGTCCCTCTCCTGTGTGCTTGGCCCTGGGGCCCACGAGGGGTGCAGGGAGGGAGAGAGAAAAGGAAACCTCTGTCTCGGGGACTCTACTCCCAGCCAGGAGCTGTTGAGAACCCAGGAAGTGCTGGCCAGAACTCGGGGCTGAGGGGATGCTGTGGGAGGCCCTGCCCACCTGCCGGTCCCCAAGGTCCCCAATCCCCGGGGAATCTCCAGGCCTGCAGCTCACCCAGTTCCAATCTGCAGGACCCGGTACCCAAAGTGCCTGCCAGTGTCGGCAGCGGGTAAGGCCAAGCTCTGGGCGTGCTGCACATCCAGATTGTAGCTCGAGGCAAGGCCTGAGGGAGACAAAGGGCTTGTTAGTTACTTCCTGCCTGGGGCCACTTCAACAAACCCTCCAGAACCCTCTACTTTGGGGAGCGTCCCCACCCCCAGAGTCACCCCATGCTGGAGCAGATGGTTGACACATAGGCCTCCCACGTCAGCAGGCTGGGTGCCCTGGGAACTCCCCCTTAAAACTCCCACTGAGGCAGGGAAATATGGAAGCAGCACCCTTGACCCAGAGCCAGGAAGGCCACGAGGACTTCCTGTTTGTCCTTTCAGCAAAGATGGAAAGATAACAAGGAGGAAGCTGGTGAGAGGAGCAAATGCAAGGCCCACAGACCACATGGAGGCCAGGATTGGGGTAAGGAGCAACATGGGGCTGCCCTAAGCTTCCCACACATCCGTTCCCCGCCCCCCCTCCCCCCCACCCCAGGCTGGGGCCCCTGCCCCTGACAACCCAGCAGGGTGATAGTTTTCCTCAGGCTTTCTCCTACTGAGCCAGGCTTTCAAGATCCCCAGGGCTCCAAGGGGTCACCTCCTCAATCTTCTCCCACACCCTGGTCCCTCTTAACCCATCCCAGGTCCTGTGCCCAACTTCTGGCATCCTGGCGTCTCCTACAGACCTTCCACCAAGGCTTCTCTCAGAGAGGAAGATGCTGACCTGGCTGCTTGTTCAGATGAAAAGTAGGAGGCCAAAAAAAGGACCAGAACTGACATGGAGGGTCAGGTATGACTGGCCCCAAACCAGATTTGGGGCCAATTAATCATCTCCCTTTTGGCAGCCCGTCTCGAACTGTTGCTCCTTTGTCTTCCTCCTATGTCTTCTCTTTCAAACCTCTTGCCTATATTTTAAACTCACCTTGCTTCTCTTTCTTTTCCTCCTTCTCCCTCCTTGGGCCCTTCTTACCTGCAGCCAATTCCATCCTTAGAGCAGCTCCTCCTGTGCTCGGGATCCACACAGCCTGCAGCTTCCCTAGTCTTACACACACACACACACACACACACACACACACACACATACACTCATCCCTTCCCTTCCCTGTTGCCTACCCAGGAGCAAAGGCCCAGACAGCAGCAGCCTCACGTGGATGATACAGGTATTCATCTCTCTCCACTGGGGATGTTCTGGCAGCTTCTGTAAGATAGAGGAAGGCCTACACTGAAACTTTCACACCAAGGTTTTAGCCGGGTGACAAGTGTTGGTGGGAGGGAGTGCTTATAGGGGTGGTGAAACCACAGGAAAGGAAGTGCAAGCAGGTTAAACATTTCCTGCTTCCCTGCCTGTTTTAAGTTTGCATATCGCCAATGAGAAGAAGCAGTTGTCTCCACTGCTCCAACCCTCCTGTGTGCTTGGCCCTGGGACTCATGAGGGGTACAGGGAGTGAGAGAGGAAAGCAAACCCCTGCCTGGGGGACTCTGCTCCCAGCCAGGAGAGACTGAGAACCCAGGAAGTGCTGGGTCAGTGACTACTTCTGGTGCCTGGAGCCACTGGTACTGCACAAACTTAAGATTCTATGATGCTCAGGAGTGGACGGGCTCATTCGGCTAGTTTCTACACCCTGGAATGCTGAGTCACCCGAAGGAACCGGAGATCCCAGACCCATTACTAATGAAAAGGAGCAAGTGACCAGACTGGGAGGTAGCTCAGAAGTCTGGAACCAATGATTTGCTTGTGGAAGGTCCTGGGTTTGATTGTCACTCTGCATGATCCCTCCACACTGGGTCAGGAGTAACCTCTGAGCATTGCCAGGTGTGGCCCCCGTACCAAACCAAGCATGAAAAAGCAACCCCCCCAAATGTTACGTAACAGAGGATTTAGTAACTCATTTTAATTCTATAAAATGAACAAGGCTCTTGCCTTGTGTGTGGCTGACCCTGTTCAGTCACTGGCATTGCATATGGTTCCCTTAGAAATGCCAAGAGTGACTCCTGAGCACCACTAGGGGTGATCTCTGAGCACAGGGACAGGTATCCCACGCCCCCCCCCCACCACCAAGAGAATCCACCCCCTCAAAAAGAAACAAAAATTCCAGAGAGTAGGGGAAAATATTAGGAAATAATATATCAAGATAGGATTTGTTTTTTTTTTTTGGCTTTTTGGGTCATACCCAGTGATGCTCAGGAGTTACTCCTGACTCTGTACTCAGGAATTACTCCTAGTGGTGCTTAGGGGGTAATATGGGATGCCAGAGATCAAACCCGCATTGGCCAGGTACAAGGCATATGTTCTACCTACTGTACTATGTACTAGCGCTCTAGCACCTTGACACAGGATTTGTATCCAGAATATGTAAGAGCCTTGTGTCAATAATAAACCCAATTTCTTTCATGGTTAAAGAACTTAGACATTTCTCCAAAGATCATGCATGAGCAGTTACTAAAGATATGAAAAGATGCTTAACATAATCATTATTGGAATGAATGCAAATCAAAACCAAAATAAGGTACTACTTTATACTCACTAAGACGGCAGGATGAAAATAGAAAATAGATGGAAGATGTGGCTCAGCGGTAGAGAGCGTCCCTTCCTCATGCAAAAACTGGCATCGATTCCCAACATCACCGAAAAACAAAGTCTTGGTGAGGAGGTCACAAAATCAGGACCTGTGCACTGTGAGGTTGGTGGGAAGAGTTATCATATGAATGAGCAATTCCTAGACTAAAAAGTCTCAGAGTGGGGCCAGAGAGATAGTACAGCAGGTACTTCCATCTTCTCTGCATGAGCTGACTCGGGTTCAATCCCCAGCATCCTATAAGGTTCCCCAAGCACCACCAGGAGTAATTCCTGAGTGCAGAGCCAGGAGCAAACCCTGAGCCTTGACAGGTTTGACCCAAAAATCCAAAACAAAAAAAAAAGTCTCAATGAAAATCAAAATTAAGGAATTAGAAAAGAGGAAATGAAAAAAAAAATAGTCAAACAAAGTTGATTAGACAATCAGTCTTGAGTACCAGGTTTAAGAGAACTGTTCATTCAGTGACAAGCTTTGGTGAGCTAGCATACCTAGGAAAGAAAGGGAGTAATCAATCACTGTCTACATCAAACAGAACAGCATTCAAAAACATTGCAGTAAGTTCTAACAGGGATGTTTTACATTTGTACAGTATAAGGTGTCAAACTGTGCTGGTTGTTCTGACTTAAGAGTATTGTCTACACATGAAGGCAAGATGGGAAGGGAAGGAAATTCTTGGCTGGGTACTAGTTGGTGATTTTCCTGTCACTCCCTTCTGGACAGCAGTTGACATGGGAAAGTGATGGATTTCTCTACTGCATATGGATTTTTCTTCATGACTTCTTCTAGAACAAGGCAGGCCTCCTTCTGACTCTAGCCCCTCCAAAGGCCTTAGACTTTCAGCTTCTCAGAGCTGAGCAAAGAATTTTAGTCCTCTCTAGGTATATACTAAAAAGATTTAAAAACTTGGGTTCATATAAAAACACATGAATGTACCTGGCAGTGTTATTTATTCATATTAAACCCAAACTGGGCCCAACCTAACTATCCGTAAACTAACAGATAAATAAAGTGTGGTATATATAATGGAATATTATTCAGTCGTGAATAGACAGATACATGATATGGATATGGAAAGATAAATATGCTAAGTGAGAAAAGCAGGCCACAAACTATATATTATATTGTTCCATTAAATGGCACTTCCAGAAGAAGCAAATCTACAGAGGCAGATGGTCGGTTAGTGGTTGCAGGATAGGAGGGCGTGGGTGAGTAAGGAGGGACTATTTATGGTCTTTTTTTTTTGGTGTCAGGAAATATTCTGGAATCAGATTAGTGGTTTCATTGCACAACTCTGTATAATACTTTAAAAACCCGGGATTGTATCATTTAAAATTGTGTGTTGTGTGTAGTACACGAGAAACATCTAAAAAAAGTTGGGAAAATGAAATTATGCATGTAAACTCAATCTGAAAAAACACACGACCCAACTCTGGACGTTGTCCTGCTCAGATGGACAAAGAGGCTGCACACATTTCTCCATTGTCTGCATTTGTCTTACAATGAGGATGTAAGACTTGCGTAATTTAAGAAAACTAAAAATATTAAAAACACAAAAGAGCAGAGGAAGTGCATTAGTTTGTGAGATGGTGGGGGGTGCCTTTGGATTCTCCCGGGGTTGCGAGCACATCCTGACAGCCTGCAGACTCCTTTCCGGTGCTGATCCCCGACAGTGGGCCCACCATAACCCACCAGCACCAGCACCAGGCAGATGTGCCACGAGAGTTGGCTCCTCTTAGTACCTGATGCCAAATAATTTTTTCCAAACTCAGAATCAGGCAATCGGGATTTCTTTGATTCACGATTCAGAAATTCTCACTTATATCAAACCAAATTTTTTTGTTTTAAAATCAAAAAAAGAACACTTTATTTTTTGCTAAATTTTTTTTATTGAATCACAGTGAGATACAAAATTACAAATGATTAGATTTAAGACATACAGTGTTCCAACACCCGTCCCTTCACCAGTGTACATTTTCCATCACCAATGTCTCCAGTTTCCCTCCCGCCACCCATCCCTGCCTGCCTCTACGGCAGGCACTTTTCTTCTCTTTACCTACTTTTAGCACACAGTTCCTGTCCAAAATGATCATTTCCAACTATTATTGTCATACTGGTCCCTTCTCTATTCTAACTGCCCTTTGTCCCATACACACTCTTTGGCCAGCTTCTGACCATTGACCAGTCCTCCTGGCCCCTGTTTTCCCTGGCCTTGGATATTAGCATAAAAAGAACATTTTAAAATTTAAACAGTACAGAAACCAGAGCAATGGTGCAGTGGGTTGGGCATTTGTCTTGCACGTGGCCAGCTGGGGTTCAGTCCCTGGCACCCACACTGACCAGGAGTGATTCCTGAGTACAAAGCCGGGAGTAAGCTCTGAGCCCAGCCAGGTGTAGCCCCCAAATCAATCAATAAATAAAATATAGACAGTACAGCAATGTATAAAGTAAAATGATAAAACCACTCTTTGAACATTTGCCTCCCACTCTTTTTTTTTTTTTTTTGGCTTTTTGGGTCATACCCAGCAAGGCTCAGAGGTTACTCCTGGCTCTGCACTCAGGAATTACTCCTGACAGTGCTTGGGGAACCATATAGGATCAAACCTAGGTCGGCCACGTGCAAGGCAAACGCCCTACCCGCTGTATTATCACTCTGGCCCTATTTGCCACCCACTCTTTTTTTTTTCCCTTTTTGAGTCATGCTCAGCGATGCTCAGGGGTTACTCCTGGCTTTGCACTCAGGAATTACTCCTGGAGGTGCTTGGGGAACCACATGGGATGCTGGGGATCGAACCTGGGTCGACCACGTGCAAGGCAAATGCCCTACCTGCTGTGCTATCACTCAGGCCCTATTTGCCTTCCACTCTTAACTCTCAAAATAGTCACTGTTAACAGTTGCGAACATGCTTCATGACAAAAAAAAAATACTAGTTTGTTTTGTTAAACATACAGGTTGAACCTGTTTGGGAAAACTCTAATTATCTTACCACAAACACCTAACCCAGAATACATAGCCAAATAAACCATCTCCAATTTGAAGATTTTCCTTTAGACCATATTCAACATATAAGATCACTTTCTATAAAGGTCCCAAGGTGGGGGCTGGGAAGATACTTGCCTTGCATGCAGCCGACCTAAGTTTGATCTCCGACACCAAACACAGTCCCCAAGCACAGTCAGTAGTGATCCCTGAGCATCCAAAATATAGCCCCCCTGATGAAGGGTCCCAAGATGTCTGCCATAGGACACCTTTCCTCACATGTGCCACCATGATTTGGGGATTAAGGACAGGAGGGGTCGCATGGTCAACAAAGCATGTGGTAGAGTACATGCCTTGCAAGGTCCTGGGGACCATCCTCTGAGTCAACTGTGCCCCCCAACTCTACTGGGCGTGGCCACAACAACAACTTTGAGTGTGGTTTACCCGTTTACCTAGATTAAGAGATCTATTCAGAAAAAAAAAGAAAAACTTTTTCCTTTTTTTTGTTTTTGTTTTTGGACCACACCCAGAGGTGCTCAGAGCTTACCCCTGGCTCTGTGCTCAGGGATCACTCCTGGCAGTGCCAGGAGATCATCTATGGTGTCAGGGTTGAACACTGCCATATGCAAGGCAAGCCCTGCCTGCTGTACTGTCTCTCCAGCCCCAAAA